TGTATATAATTTTATAATAAACATAGAAAACTAAGAACGACATGTTTATCAAAAATGATTATTAGAATTTGATTATTTGAAAACTGAAGAAAACAATTATTTCTATGAAAAAATACGAATAATATTAAAATGAAATTAAAAAACTTTTTTTTTTTTAAATTTAAAATTAAATTAATCAATGATCTGAACACGAAATAAGGTTATGAGGAACAAAGTCAGATTATTAACAAGTCACAGAGTTCTTTTCTATTTTTGTATTCAATACATAGAAATCTATTGAATTATGAAAAAACCTAGTTTGACATCTTTGTATAGTTATTCATTGTAGCTACTATTCTCAGTATTTAGAATAATCTATTAGCGTTCAATAGTTTTGCGTGACTGAATTAAATAAGCTAATAAGGAAGTTATTAATCAAACGCTTAAATTTTCACAGTTTAGGATAATCTTGTATATGTATTGTATTATAATAGTATCGATAAGTCTCTAGAATATATTAAAACTTCTATTACAAAAGAAATATATGTGCAAATTAATAACACTATCATATTCATTCATAATATATGAGTTGATCTCAATTTTCTTGGACATTGTATTGAACTTATTTGTAACAAATTTTTCTATATTTTATTTCATTTTGTATTAGAAATTTTTTTCTTTTTACAGTCATTTTGTGATCGAGAAGAAGATAAATCTCTGGTATTGTTTATTGGATAATGTTTGAGTGTCATATTCAGGATTAACTCTTTATTTTGCACACTTCAAAGTAAAAAAAAAAACAGACACAAATCAAGATAGACAATCACCTTTTGTTTTGCTCAAAATAAAAGCAAACGTCTACATCAGACTTATAGTATATGTTTGAAAAAATAAAGATCGTTTCATAAGTTTCGACCTCATTTTTATTCTTGGCTGTATCCGAACGTGGATGGATATTGAAAACAAAATATATTTGAAGAGAAACTGTGTTCAATCTGCATTAACTCAAGGAATATACTACATGGATCAAAATATCGAAGAAAATTTATCAAATTTATTTTCGTGTTTGAACAGACGTATCTTCATGAATACAAAAGCAAATATACTGAGGTTTACACTATAGATGAGTACCGATTAGGCTATCAATCACACAACTATATTCCTTTTTATACAACCAAAAGAGAATTATTCTCGAAATACTGATCATTACGGAATTTCAAAAACCTAAAATTGTATAATGTTTGGTCACATCGAAAAAATGATTTTGATAATTTTATTTTCGATATTTTTATCAATGTAGTATATTCTTTAAGTTGATACATATTGAGTCCAGTTTCTCTTAGTTTATAGCTTATGTACTACTCTTGCAATGCAGTCAAGATACAAAAAAAAATGAAGTCGGAACTTATTATGAAACATCCCCTGAATATCTAAGTGTATTGATGTCTATCAAAATTATGTGAATTCGATTGATACTTCTTTAAATAAAGATAAAGAGAGATCAATAATTTTTGTATATACTATAAATCAAAAAACATGAAATTTTGTCTCTTCATATAATGTTTGAATGTAAAATTGATTTAATTCATTTGTTAAATGGAATCTAAAAATATCAAAGACAATTGATGAATTATTCAAGATAACCATGCAACAACAAATCCACAGAATCTTCTTCGACTAATTTAACTATGCTATCATTCGTTTATATGGGTTATCTTTGGTCTGTATCCAGTCGTATTATCAAAACCTTGTCTTCTACGTCAATCTCAATGGCGTTTTGATAGTACTCAAAAACTATTGTTTATCAAATAGAGATAACCTGCTAAAAATACAAATGATATTCTATAAGAAACAAGGGCCTTGATATCTTAACAACCAATTGAAAGAATTTAAATAAATTGAATCTATTGAATTCACTAAGGATTATTTAAACAATGCAAGAATAAATAAAAGATGTATATGTCGGAAAAAAAAACATGTTCTGTGATTTTAGGACATCATCCATGTTATTTTAAATTTGCATATTAGATAGATAAATGATGAATTTTTCTAATTCATTGAAAATATAGTTGATTAATAAAGGCTTTTTTTTTTGTTTTTATTATTTTTTGATAGATACTAATCAAGGCATCTATGCTATTCGCTTTTATCATATATTCTCAAAAGACATAAAAATTAGTCACAAGAAACAAAAAGAAGACAATAATTAATAGACAGACAAACAAGTTACATTTTACAACATGTTTAATAGTATCCTAAATTATCAAAAACATGAAAATATTATTAAATAATAGCAATCAAAAAAATCGAGCATACTAAATATCCATAGAAATGTGTGTATATTGTTATTATTTATACATAAATTCATTCTTATTACCTATTGCAACTATAGGTGTCTATATTTCTTCAGTTACTTTTATAGACAATCGGAATATGAGAATTTTCAATTGTTTTTTTTTCTATAAAGATAGTATCAAGAGATATCTATCTGATTGCATAAATGCAAATGTAGTAGCATGACAATAGATTGCCTTTAATATAAAACTGAAGGAAACTATGATTTATTCCTAACAATTGATTTTCGTATATACAATGGATACTATCGGTATGAGTTTTTTCATTTAAACTTTTATGTTACAAAATAAGAAATAATTCGATTGTTTTGTGATTAATGTTAGAGTAGATATTATTCTTTTATATAATTGATAGTTGAGAAAAGCAATGAAAAGACAAAATAGTTAGTTATAATTCGATTAATTTATTCATTTTTTTTGTGTAATTTTAATTAAATCGAAATAATTAAGTATTTGTTTAGTTTTCTTGTATTGTTAAATCTAGTATGAATAAATGTGTAAGTCAATATATATTTCGTTTATATGATTAATAATAACCTTAGAATTGAGTGCAGTTGAGGATAATATTTAAAAAATGAAACTACTCTAATTCTGTTCTTTTTTTATTCTCTAACTTTGTAAACTATTTCAATATTAGGATGTGAGGACATTTAGATAATGCCCTCTGCAAGTATAATTATGTGTATTTTATTTCAACATGAGATCACTATATCAAATTATTCTCTGTTCACTCTTTCACGCCTACAACGAGTTAAATCAACACGTATATTATTCAGTTTTTTTTTTCACTTTTCGTCGTTAATTTATGGACTAATTGAAATGAGAGACAAAAACATCAAGAAAATAAGGTAGCAAGAGCAAACGGAAAAACGTGTTGAGAGAATTGAAGATATAATCATTGTCTTTTTATATAATATAGATAAAGAGAAATGTTTATGAGATCATTTAAGAAGTGACAAGTGAATGATGGCATATTAATATTTAGTGTAAGCATTACTTATATTATAAAGAAGTTGATTTTGAATAGGTTCACTATTATATCTATGGTCAAAAATTAGAACTAGAGTTAGTAGATAAAACTTTCATTGAAAATAATAACAATTATAACTTTTAACCAATTGATTCAATTATGAAACTTTTTAAGATACAGTTTGAATACGAAACTATATATATTTGAGACCAATATTTTCCATAAAAATAATTACATGTAAGTTTCTAAAGTAAAAAAAAAAAAGACGCTAACATACAATATATCGAGTAAGTCACAATGATTGCGACAGTTAGTCTTTTGCAAATATTTCAACATAGATAAATCGCAGAACCTTGATCTTATTTTTTTTTAACAGATACACCACGAAATTCTCTACAAAAATGATAATGAGAAGTCTTATTGAGTTATTTGAAGTATTTTTGTGTGTAAGACTAAAAGTGCAATGCTTCATTATTCTAAAAGAAGGAAAAATGAAAATGACCGTGATTATTTTGCATATATGTGAACATTAAAAAATCATAAGTTTTTTAATTGTTTCTTTTAATATGCTTCATCAAAACCCTACCCATTTTTACACACTAAAATAGTCTTTGCATCTTGCTGATGAGTTTTTAGATGACAAAAACTGAAGATCTTCGTGATATCTTTATTGTCCATTAGAAAAACGAGAAAGTAGCTTCAGAAATCTCAAGTAACTAATCTTTTGGTTAGCTGATTTCATCTTCTTGCCAGTGATTTGCGTGTACCAACATAGTCATTTTGATTAAATCACTGTATTCAAAGATGAGCTGTAGCATGATGCATCTTATGAGCCAGTATACTTGAAATTTCTAAAATTGTTTTCTCGTTTTTACAGTGGACAATAATAGTATCACAAAGATCTTTACTTTTTGCCATCTAAAAACTTATTAGCAAAGTACAAAGACCATTCTAATGTGAATGTGGTAGGGATTCTTTGAAGCACGTTAAAAGAAACAATTTAAGGATTTATAGTTTTTAGTATTCACGTATATGCAAAATAATCATTGTCATTTTTCTTTTTCTTAAAATGATGGAACATTTTCCTTTTAGTCTCACATACAAAAATACTTCACATAACTCAATAAGACTTCTTATTATCATTCTTGTAGAGAATTTCGTGGTGCATCTTTAAAAGAAAGAAGATCAAAATTCTACGACTTATTTATGTTGAGACTTTTTTTTGTAAAATATCAACTGTCGCATTCATTATGACTCAGCCGGGTATTTTCATTTATACTTTCAAATATATTAACTAAATCAAATCTGCTTAAAAAATGAAGAGGCTAATCGAATAAAACGAGTTGATAGTTTTAACTTGGTCAAATTCAATTATCATACGGCTGATACTAGAAATTAGAATTAATTACTTGGCTTCTCATTCCTTTTTAATAGACTTTTAGAAAAATGAGATAATATCTGGCTTTTATTCTTTCTTGAAAAATAGAAATTGATATTTGAGGATCGAACGAACACGTTTCCACCTTTTTCTTTTGCTTCTAATTATCGAATTACGTGAGTCTACGTGAACTAATTTGTTATTTGATCTATGATATATAGAAGCAAGTGAAAATATTCAAGAACGTGAAGAGACAAAAACGTCAACAATTGTGTCAGACACTAATAATAATAATAATACTAGTCGAAAACTAAAGCCAATGGAGCAACTAGTGGTATTGACAACATCGGCTTTGGCATTACCTCCACCATCGCCCACTGTTCCACGAGATTTATGGACAAATAAAGTTGAATTTCTTTTGTCGGTTATTGGCTATGTTGTCGATCTTGGTAAGAAAATTAAATAAAATTCATTTATTGATTTCATTTTAATTTTTTAGGTAATGTCTGGCGATTTCCTTATGTATGTTATGCAAATGGTGGTGGTGCATTTCTTATTCCATATATGATATTTTTATGTCTTATTGGTATACCAATGATGTAAGCTTAACTTTTATTGAGGAAAAAAACAAAAGAAATTTTTTTTAAATATTTTGAGGTATCTTGAATTATTTCTTGGTCAATTTTATCGTTGTGGTAATATAACACTTTGGGGTAGACTAGCTCCATCAATGAAAGGTATTGGTATAGCATCATTTCTTATTGTCACTGCTGTAACATTATTTTATACAACAATAATTGGTATTGATGAAAAATTCTTTTTTTAATTTATTATAAATATGATTTTTTTTTTTTTTTTGGTTTTTAATTTTCTTAGCTCATGCTGTTTTTTATTTATTTTCATCATTTCGTGAAGTAATGCCTTGGAGTTTATGTTCACATACATGGAATACACCTTTATGTTCTGAACGTATGCGTACTGAAATAGAAAAAAATTATACTATTAAACAAATTCATATCAGTGATATAAATAATTATTTTCCTTTAAATGAAACACAAAAAATTAATTTATTTATGGAATCAAGAATTTCATCAGCTGCTGAATATTATAATATTTATATGTTAGGTATTAATAATTCAAAAGGTTTAACTGATTTGGGTAGTATTAAAATTGATTTACTTTTATGTTTAATATCAATATTTGTTCTTATGTATATGTGTATTTATCGTGGAGTTAAAAGTACAGGTAGTATACGCAAAACATTAATTTCTTTTAAAATTTTTCGAAATTTTTTCTTTTTTTAAGGCAAAGCTGTTTATGTAACAGCTACATTACCATATATTGTACTAATAATATTACTAATACAAGGTTTACATTTAGAAGGTTCACGTAAGGGTATAACATATTTTTTAAAACCAGTATTTAGCAGATTAAATGATATGAAAGTTTGGTATGCAGCAGCAAATCAAATATTTTTTACACTTGGTCCTGGTTTATCTGTATTAACAACTTATGGTTCATATAATGTTTCAAGTAATAATTGTTATTATGATGCATTAATTGCTGTTGTAGCCAATTTTGCTGCAAGTTTTCTTTCGGGTTTTGTTGTCTTTTCGGCATTAGGTCATATGTCATGGCGTTTAAAAAAAGATGTCGAAAAAGTTGTTGATGAAGGACCAAGTTTATCATTTATTGCTTATCCAGAAATATTAGCAACATTTAAACATCCAGCACTTTTTTCCATATTATTCTTTTTAATGGTTATTAATTTAGGACTTGATAGTGATTTTGGTGGTTTAGAAGCAATGTATACAGCATTAAGTGATGAATGTCCATTATTAAAACGTCATAGAAAATCTGGAATGCTCATTATGTGTGGTTTACTAATTGTTGCATGTTTACCAACAGTTACACAAGGTTAATTGACATATCTCATGAAAATAAAAAAATAGTTAAAATTAACGAATTATTTTTATATTTTTTAGGTGGTAATTATGTTGTACTTTTTCTGGATAAATTTTCAACAGCTCCAGCACTTATGCTTGTTGTAATGATGGAAGCAATTGCTGCAAGTTGGGTAAGTTTAATAAATATACAAGGAAAAAAAAATATTATAATAAAAAAAATTATTTAGGTTTATGGTATTAATAATCTTGTAAATGATATTCGTACAAATCTAGGTTTTGAACCAAATCGTTTTTTTCGTCTTGCTTGGACATTTTTATGTCCTATTATTGTCATCATACTTATGATATTAGCATTAACTTATTCAGATGAATTAAAATATGGTAATTATATATTTCCATCATGGTCAATTATATTTGGTTGGTGTCTTAATATGTGTTTTATTTTACCAATTCCAATTACTATGCTTTATGTATTTATTCGATATTCGGATTCAAGAAATTCATTCAAACGTTTTTGTCTTTTATTTGTACCTAATATAAGAAAGCGTAATGATAATCAACAAATTGAAAATGGTACGAGCTTTCCAATGTCATCATCATCGTCATCACCTATTTCACATGTTTGACTGTTGTTTATTTGTTCGTATATATTTAGATAGTTCTTATAAATAAATATAATTAGATATGTATATGTTTTATTTTATTGATCAATTTCTAGTATTAGGCACAATATAGAAAAAAATAAATAATTGTAGGTATATATATATATGCATTATGGATTTATTGTTGATAATTGAAGTGGAGGCAATTTCTGATGATTGTCATCATCGAGTTGAGCTGTTGATGGTAATATTGGTTTCTCAGAAATTGGTTTATCCTGGTGTTTTTCATCTGTTGGTATTCGACGAAGCACAAATTGACGACAAAAGAGAATGCTCATAGCTGCATCTCTAAAATCACTGGATGTTAACCAATATATAATAAATGATGTGACATGACTTGTTGTTGCTAAATTGCTCAAAGTCATTGTGATTAAACTTCTGTGTAATTTAATCGTTTTTCCAAAAAAAATATAAAATATAGCAGAAGGTGAAGTAAACATAATAAAAAATATTGTTATTAATATTAATGTTTTTGTTAATCGACCACCATCACTTGATCTACCACGACGATTACCAGCACTATTGCTACTGTTATTACTAAATTGTTTATTTAATTTTGATTTTCTTGTTCGTCTACGAGATTCTCTAACTTGACGAATAATTGATATATTAGATAAAATCATTAATGTAAAAGGAATAAAATTATATAATAATAAATGAACAATTTCCCAAAATTGAAAAAATCTTGATTGATAACATTTAATTTCTTGTTTTGTTTGATTAAATTCATCATTATAAAGAATACGTTTTCCATTAATTATCCATATTGGAAAATTAATAAGAGCTATAAAGAAAATAACCATCCAAGTAACACGATGAATTATAATTGGTTTTGATAACCATTTTTTTAATGACCATTGAGGCTGCAATGAAACACATCGCGCAAATGTTGCTAATGTTTTAAGCCATGCAGCACATTGAAGAGAAAAATATGCACCATAAGAAATAAATTTGCATATAAATAATGAATGTTGTTCTAAATTTTTAATTGAACTAATATTTTGATATTTCCATATTAATTCTCGTACAACATAATTTATATTCCATGTAAATGGTATTAATAATTCAATAAGAGCTAAATAAGAAAAGACAATTATTGTTGGATTTGAACGATTTGGTACAAGACGTGTATAGATATAGAAACATAAAAGATTTAATGGTGTACCAACAAGAATAAGAATAAGAGAATATAAACCAGATATAAAATGTGCAATATCAATAAATGTTATTTCCATTTTTATTTATTCTATTAAAAGAAATAGAAAATAGTAAATATATATATATATACATATATAAGAACTTGTATGCAAACATATGAAATTTTTTTTTATGCATATTTTTCTTTAAAAGCTGTGTACATTTAGATTGTTTATTTTGGTTTCTGATGAGATATATTTATATATGAAGTGCATTGCTTAAATTTGTTTATTTATTCAGAAATAAATCTGGAAATAATATTTTCTTGTTATTTACTTGTATTCTATTTAAAATGGTTTTATTCATTACTAATATGTTTAATAAGAAGTCAATTTATATAAATATTCTTTTTGTATTTGATCGTGCTTTCCTATATGTATCATAAATTCGATTTTTTCTTTAAACATATCTTAATTGTATTCGAGTGACTCATTAGTTTACAAACAAAAATAGAATAGTTTTTATATAAAAAAAAAAAAAAAAAAAAACAATAAAAAATTTCGTAAAAATAGAAAAAAATTAATCATATTCTTGAAAAAATAACTATGAATATTATTTCACTTACCCTATGAAGTTTATAATAATATTCAATAAAATGAGTTGTTAAAATTTTTCGATATTTTGAAAAAGTAAATAATCTTATAATCTAGATCGACTAAATACCTTTGGCAAGTCGAATTCGTCGCTATCTATTAATTTGTATCCGCTTCTAGTTTTGTCTTGGTAGTGCAAGAAGAAAACCGACAATGTAATAAATGGTTACATTTCCTTTTTTTCCTCTGCAATATGTCGTCAACACATTCTACTGGTCTCACTAGGCAGCGTCTGTTTCTTGCAGTTTTTTTCACTCTCTATATAGTTGTCGACATCTCTAAGAATAAATGCATGTAATCGGTAGAATAATACAGAAATATGTTGATAGACACTGCACCATTTTTAACAGTTCCTAGTCTTCTATCATTTTTGACTGGCATCAAGTTCACAACGAACGATGTAGATAGATGCCACCTGTGTTATTCTAAAGAGTACTTAAATAACATTATTGAAAAAGCGGAAATGTCGATCAATCATTAACTATGCACGTATATTTCTATATAATCAAGTTTAATATGTATTTTTCTTTTCGAGGAAAATAAAGATAAAATCGAAGCAAATATTTAATTCTTTGGCAGAACCTATCACAGAAATTAGATAGACAAGCAGAATTATAACTGAGAGTAAACATATGCTATGTTATTGCTTTGGGACAAACACCAATTTTAGAAGAAAGAACACAACTATGATTTGTCTGTTTGATAATAGATCAATAAGCTACAGAAATTACTAATAATATTACTAACTGATATATGTTGTCTATTACTTATTATGTACAATAGATTTTAAAATAACTTGTTTAGAATATATTGATTATGACGTCGTATATTTTTATTATTGATAGACTATAATAACAATTAATCACTAAAAATTATTTACGTATAGCATTACTTCATCAATTTAAAAAACATTAACATATCTGATTTGTTTATCCTTTTCACATTTATTGATGATAGACTGATATACTATATAAAGTAAAATAATGATTGATAGTCTTTTTTGCTTTCAGTTTAGGGACTTAAACGATTCTCTTAACTATTATCAATCAACATGGTACTTTTAAAAATAGATATATGTACTAGTCAAAATAATATGACATAGATAAACTAGATCTTTGTTCTTTTAATTTTGATTGACATTTTCAAGGATATTAATTTTATATTTTATCCAAAGGTCAGCAATGAATTTATGTTTACATATTAGATAATCAAAACAGAAGATATTGTTTCTCATATACAATATCATATCAATAAATAATAGAAAATTGATTTATTTAATTAATAGAATTATTTGGCTTTTTTTTTTTTATCTCTTTCAATAGATTCAAGTTATTTATTTGATAATAATGATTTACAGAATTAATTATCACTATGTTAATATTATATAAAAACAAAATTTACTAGAACACAAAAAAAAAACATATGAGTAAACTTTGTTTTGATTTAGAAATCAAGACTGAAAGAAAATTCTAAAAAAAGATGTAATATGTTATCTAATATTATTTTTTATCTTAAAGTTTTAATATAGAATAAGAAAGTGAGTAGATTTTTAGGTATGTTTTATTTATTGACCTTGGACTTAAAAGAGAACAAAAAGAATTATCTAAATAAGCAAAAATATACATAAGATGTTTTTTTTTCCTACTTTGTCAATAAAGAGGATGTTAGTATATGTCGACAGATGAATAAAAGACAGACAACTACTCGACAGAATACTTGTCAATATAGACATTTCTATTGTCTACCATGATTTTCTTGTTAATTGAAGCATAAAAAGTGAAATTCGACTATTAAACTATATTTCAATATGCAAAAATTATAATTAAATCAGTAAACTATTCGTAATCATTTGTCATTTTCTATATGTCAAAATTCTTCAATTGATTTTTACGTTTTCTATAGATTTTCTTTTTAAATATGCAAGAATAATGTAATCAAAAAAGAAAAATCGATTAGTTGACTTAGTATGTGATTCACGAATCAACAAATTAATAAATTACTCAAAGCAATAAATTAATATTGTACACTACATGTAATTGATTTTTTTTTGTCAGCATCCACAATTATTCAATGAATTTATTATCTAGTCATAACATCGAAGAAATGTCAACAATACTAATATATTATTTGTATAATTTATTTTCATTAGTAAAGACTTAGAACATGTTGTATTCAGTCTTGCATTAATATTATCAAACATGAAAAAGACAAGAATTCTATTGAAAGAAAACAACTATTATATACACCATTGTAGATTACTGAGTGCTATAAGTAGAAATAAAATATTTGTTTTTGTATAGTTGAATAGGTACAAGATAATCGACGATCATATGTGTCATTTATTCTCATAGAAATATATTGTAAAAATAAAATTCAAGTCACATTTGACAATGACGTCTTACAAATATGAGAATAACTTGAAGAATTTTTTTTTCTAATTTTAGACATTTATATTACATTCATCAAAATCAAGGCCAACATTCTAATATCATGAACGTATATAAATAACTCGTTAATTAAAAAATTTTATAGGTTTCTAGGGAAGCCTTTACAAAAATGTCTCTTATCTATTTATTAATATAATGTGTTCCGTTCTTGTTTGAGTGACTTCACAGTATAAGTAGTTCTATTCATCTCCGGTTTCTACCATCTGGAAGAATGAAGTAGAAAAATGCAATTTATTTAAAAGCGGATGCTTTTAGACAAGGCATGTAGATTGTTACTTTACAATAATTGTGTGCAAGATGAGTAAAATAAGCTTTTAAAAATATCAAAATTAATAATTTTCTATGAAATCTTACTGAATTCAACTAAAGCAGATATAATGTCTACTGTAAATCTGTGATATTTTACATTGATTGTATTCTGAGATTAAATATTAATAACAGAGATATTTCACTACAAATTACAACTAAACTTCAAGATGCAGCTATTGAATATTTTGTTTTTTTAATGAACTCATCAATTTTCACATTGCTTTACATTTTTTATTGCACTCTTTTTTTTTAGCATACTGAAAATCATCGATCTCTAGCTATTTCAGTTCTGGATCCATTCAAAGAATAACAGAGTATATTATATTTGTAATGGAATAGTAATAAAATTTATTAATATTATTTATATTTGACAATGATTTGACGTAGATTTAAGAGCGAAGAAGGGGTACTCTTTCTTTTCTGAAATAGTTTTCGAATTTTTTTACAGCCATAACAAACAAAACACTTGATGTTATACTAGTTTATATGAGCTATAAGAATCGATCTTTTTTTTATCTAGAATCGTCGTTTCTCCTTACTAAAATTTTACATCTAAAACTATCAATAATACTTTCATGTTTCTAAATCCATTTTCTTTACCTGAATAATATCTATTATATCTTTTTCTTTTTATTCTATAAATTCATAGGTAACATCATTTACTGTCTTGTATCTCTATTCAATTCGTATATTTAATGTAATCAGCTTTAATAAATAACGTTACATACTTGTAATTTTTCTGTAAGAATATTCTATTCAGAAAACATTCCTGACGATGAATAATATTAAATGATGCATTTTATATGTCAGTATTTCGCATGGCAGAACGCCAAAGAAAAAGAAGAGATAGGAAAGAAAAATGACATCGTACATAAAAGTCGTTCTAATATGGTGTAGTAAGATGACATTGACATATTGTGATCGTCTTATTGTTTTTATCATTGCAAAATTGTTCTCTTTAAATTTGAATAATAGTGATTAAATTTTGACAAGTTTTCTTGCATTTACAATAAACATATGAAAAGTATAAAAAAAAAGAAAAAGAGCAAAATTTTCGATTGATTAATTTTACTTTTCAAATCATGTATGAAAAATATTCTCATGAATATTTTCTTGTTTTACTCAAGATCAACATATAGAATATCTTAAAATGATAAATTAAATTTAGACAAATCGATTGATAACAAAAAATACAACTAAATAGTATTCTTGTGATATAAACATGCGAAACTTTTTGAATATTTCTTTTCAATAATTTAAATAAAAAAATATAAGAAGATGAACGAAATGATTACACACTTAAATAGTCTATACTCCTACATCGTTCATCAATTTTCTAGGTCTTTCATAAAAAGAATAAGAACTAATCCTTGGAGATTGATTTTTCGAGACATGAAAAAAAAAAAAGAAATGATTTCTATGACATTTTCTTATATATGCAATCAGAGAGAAAAACAAAATGACCTTTATTTGTGAATAAATAGTTGTGATTGGAAAAACAATCATTAAATTATTAACTTCAATAAATTAGTAAAATTTCGCTAAGGGAAATCAAGTTCAATCGAATTTGAAATACAATATTTGTGTAAATATCTATCCCTTGATTCATGATAAACATGTTCACATACATGTTTTGTCATTTTAATTTTAACAATCAATAAATATGAAGCAAAAATATGAATATATAAAAAAATGATAATATTTTGTCAACATTGAAATAAACATTGTATAAGAAAATTTCAATTCAAATCTTAATAAATCTTTATTGACTAGATGAAATAATTTAATATTTATTAGAAAAATTTATTCTTTTATTTCATTTTCAATAATTAGTAGTTTATGGTTAATTGTATAAAAATAAATATTAAAAAAATAAATAGACGATTGTTATAGATAAATAATCTCAATAAAAGTCACATATATTTAGAAAATAAAGACAAATATATAAAACAAGATAAAAATAAAATGTTTGTCACGAGAATATTTTTTGTTTTTTGATACAAGACGATATTTCTCTATTTTCTTTTATTGTAATAATAGTTTCTTGTCATTCCAATTATATAAAATAAAATAGAAAATAATAGATAAACTCTATGAATTAGAATTATTTTATTTTGTTCTGCTTATTTCAATCTCAAATTCATTGTATTTTATTAGTAAATATATAGTTGATGAACTTAATTCAATAATTGAACCCTGGAAAAATAATATTTTTTTCCTATAAAGAAAATCATCTCGTGAGCACTTGTTTTTCTCTTTAGTTTCTCTAATAGCAATTTTCACTATGAATTTAATACACTTATTCTATTTACACTAATCAAATATTACCATAATAATTACGTCGTTTTATGATTTTTTTTTTATAAAGTTTTCTATATATTCTTTACATTTTGTTTTTATGTTTGTAATAGTTTTATAATATTTTTGTGCATCATTAACAATCTAAAAATGTATTTTATCAGATTATCATTTTTTGTTTGTTACTCTTGTTAACATTGTAATAATCTCTCATGTATAATTTTTAAAGATTTCATGATAATCATTTATTATTGCATTTAATTTTAATTGTAAATAAAATTCAATATCTAATTTAAGTATATTAAAGTCGAATATTTTTGTGTAATATTGAAAATATAATCAAACGAATAGTAAGAAATGAATCTACAACGATTATACATTTAACATGAATATATCAATGTTTAATCGATGATCAATACAATATTCTTTCTATATTATAAATAGACTAACACTGACATAGAATGTAAAATCAAAACAAAGTCATAGATTCGTATAACGCCCTTTTTTTTGTAGTTGAACTTGTTTTTTAGAATATATTTTGATAATTTGACTATGATTGAAAATATTTATGATTGTTACATACAATTTTGATAGTTATATCTAATCGTTTTTCAAGGTTGTTATTAGATTGTTCTTGTCATATGAATTAATCATAAAAGATGCATGATATCTAATCCTTTTTCTTAAATCTTCGTTTTTTTTGGGGGGGTATTATTTAATAAACAACAGTATCGGTTGTCAAATGTAATTGATTAAAATCGGAAATATAACAAATCTTAAGATAATATATGCTGATAGATTTACTCTTGTTTTATTTATTTATTCAAATTTTTTTATCTACTGCATACGTTATGAATGTCTCAATGAATGTAAATTAAAGTGCATGGGATATATCATTATTGTTATTTTTTTTCTGTGTATTTTTCTTTTAATGATATGACAAAAATATGGTTCATTATATGTTAAGTATAAATGAACGAAAACCTACAAAGTATTTGTTATTTTAACCCCGCATAGCATGAAATGCTTGTGGAGCATATCGCCTATTGTAGAAACGATCTTGATATTGTCGACGAGAAAGATTTTCTTTTTGAATAAGAGCAGGATCAAACAGGAGACTTAGAAAACGACTCTTAGACAATATTGGATGTTTAATAGCATTAATATGATTAATTGATGATGATGACAATCGAGATGGTAAGGGATAATCATGATTATTTTGACCATAGAAATCATTGTCGATGTCGATATCGTCAACGTTTTTGCCAATGTCGCCAATGGATGAACCAAATAAATATGCTGATGATGATGAAGAGCAACACGAAAACGAGCAGATAAGCACAAGAACAATCAACGCTGACATATAGACTCGTGTAGACGATGATGAACCTTTACCACATAATATAGAAAGTGCCATATCTGAAATGATATTAGATTTTATTTATAAACAAAATCATTTTTAAAAAATAAAGCAGCTGATCTCATTATTATCTTCAACATATCAATAGGTGAGACGCTAGATAGTTTGAAAAGTTTCAACAAAAACGAACATATCTTTCTCGAGATATGCAATTTTCAAAAAAACAAAAAACAGTCGTTTATCATAGGAGAAAATATTAACTCACTCTACTTGGAACTTATTAATCCTGAGAAAGACACATTCATTTTCGATAAAACGTTCACAACTATCTCATGATTATTATATCTATCTAGAAGTAACATTTCACATCAACATTCTTCATTTTAGTTTTTTTTTCGGTATACCTAGTTCTCAATAAAACTGTCATAACTCTTTTCCACTACAGCGTGAACTCGGATCTTTTTAGACTTTCTATTATCTCAATATACTTTATTAAATGATGTATGAATGAATTAAAACAGAAGCAAACATTTCAGATACTTCTCTTGTTAGTTGATTTTGTATACAGCATAGAAAAAGAACATCTAAGAAAAATGTTGTTTTTTTCTTTCGCTGTTTAGTAACGAAGGAGAAAATGTATTGTATAAAATAAACTAATGCTTTCAATAAAAACACCTACGAGAATCTAATACAATATTTTTTCCTTTTATAAAAGAAATGCTTGTAGCTGCTGTCAGTTGTCAACATAAAATGTGTTTATTTATTCACATACTTCAAACTTATAACAATGACGTGAGAAAAAAAAAGAGAATTATACACCCACAATATTAAAATGTATGTCTTTAAATAACTTACTTCGATAGAATGTTTTAATATTTTGATTTACGATTACCTGTCCATTGTATTTATTATATAAAATTCTCTAGATATATATTAAAATGATTTACATGTAATAAAAGATTTACTCTTCTTTGTAGCTATTCATAGATATTAAATAGAAATGAGACACATGGTCAAATGACCAAATTACTTGAAAGTCATGACATTAAAAAATATTTTTATCAGGATAATGTTGATATGATAGAAATCAGTAGACCATAGAGAATTGTCGCTAGACTAAAAAACATGGACTAAAGAATTCTCGAGAGTTATACATCAATCAATATAAAGACACATCTCTTCAATATATAATTCAAAATCATTAGTCAACTATTTCTATATACAATCAAACATTAATATATTTAGTTTCTGATATGATAAAAACAGAAACTTTAAATAAAGTGTTCTTCTTATTTAAATAATAGTACAACACAATATTAACACTTTTGATCAAAAAAAAGACTTTGTTATATGTATATTTCGAAGCGTAAAACTCGTGTGAAACATGTAGACATGAGTAAAATGAACTAACCTTTTTATTCTTAAATATCCTATTGAAAGTTTTGCAAAAGAAAATTTTCAATGAAAAATATAAACAATAAAGATGTATCACAAAATTTTCTTGATACTAGTTTTTTTTTTCTAACTGTCAATTTGTTTGATAATCATTTATGTACTATAAACTAGGACATTTTCTTCCGTTTCGATCTCTTCTAAATTCATTCAAATAGAACTAACAAATAGTACTCAATTTTCTTTTTTCTTTTTGATAGAAATCTGATTGAATATGTAAAATAATGCATGAAGTTTTCAATAATATTGATAAAATATAAAAATCATTTTATTGAAAAAGATAATACAATTTGTTTAGTTAAACAAATCATAATTTGAAATATATAATAAAAAAAAGTTATCCTTATTTGAAACATAATATAAATCATTTTTTTTTTCTTTTCATAAAATGATAATGTATTCTTACTGATAAAAAAAAAATTTGGTGAACTTAAGTAGTATATCTAAGAATATTTCATATAATATATTTGAGTTTAAATTATTACTTGCCTAGCTTCAATGTTGAGAGAATGAAGTCTTTCTTTATATGAAAAGCATATGTAGAACACAGAATATTTAATATTGTCTCATCCCACGCAAGTCTCTATGTCATGAAGAGAAACATATAATTAAATTTTAAGAAAATTAAAATCTTAAGTAATGGTTATGAGCACTTTTTTCTAGAATTCGTCTATTGTTTTTATCACTCTAACCTTTTATATGGTATGCATTCAATTTCCTTGAAAGTGAATAAAAATTGGCCTATATAATAAAAAGTTCAATTTGATCCTGTTAATTAATTTTATCAAAGAAAGTCATTAAGAAAATGATTTCCTTCAAAAAAAAAAAAGAAAAACAAACCTTGACAACATCTGTATATGATAAGAGGCTTGTAAAAGAAAAAGCCTATGACTTATGTGTTATAAAAAATTCTAAAAATAATTTCCTAAACAACTGTAATTCATTATGAAGTTCATATTAACTTAAATGTATATAATAACTAATAGTTTATTTATTAAAATTTACCTATTACTTATCTCAGATAAATTCGAACTGTAAACAAAATAAGAAATCAAATGAAATACATTTATATTTTTGAAATCATAAATGACTAAGTACTTACTAAATATGAATGACGAATGTTTTCTATTAAGAAATCTAACTAATCTTTTCTTATTTATGACCTATTCAAATTGTTTCTTGTTTTTAGAGCTCTTCACATGACTTCAAATAATCACGAAATGTTCAAAAACTCATTATCTCTTATTTTTTTTTTGTCTTTTTCATTTTCACACTTATTCATATATATACATATATAAATAATAAATCGATTCGTCTTTATTTATTGTAAAACATAAATGGTTGATCCGGATGTAATGATTATTTTTCAATATCCTCTAACTTTAAACTTCTATATATACAATAACAAAATAGAAAATTTTCATACATACTATATTAAATAAACATGTCAAACATTGGCAAATAACAATTAAACTTACGGAATAAATTGTGTATTTTCCCGTGTACTTGTTCTAACTATTATATTTGAAATAAGAAGCTTTTATGTCGTACTAATTTCTTTTCTTTTCTAAAAATACTTATATACTATTGTCAATAAAATCTACTTACATCTAAGTGGAGTTAATTAACAAAATTCTCCTTCAAGCTTAATATTCTTTCGAATTTTAGTCCAATGATGAAAAAAAAAAATAACAATACTTTCTTTTTCTTTATTCTCATACAACAACTTTACTAAATAAAACAGAACAAATGATAGAAAGAATCATGTTTTTTTCCCCTATATAAGTATCAGTCATCGATCATATTTACAATATATCAAGCATGAAAAACATCCATAATTGATTAAATAAAAAAAAATAAAAAAACAGCAAAGCTCTAAAAGTTTATGCTCAATTTGTTTGAATCTAATGTCGAGAAGTATATGCATATTGTATCCGATTGAAATCAAATGAGAAGGTTTGTAAGCAATGTCTTCATGTCATAGTTTCTAGCAACATTTCTCAAATCGAATAGGAATCGTGAAAGCAAAGTCGTCCATGTTAAGAACACTTGTAAACAGGAAATAGTAATAAACGAAATCATACAAACATCACTGACACGGAATCGTTGAACGGAAATCAGAACGATGATATACTGACAACATCAATAACATCCTTGTTTTTTTTTTGCTTCAGTACTTTATACTAAAAATATCGTTACAAGATTATGTAAAAAAAAAAAAAAGAAGCTTTTTTTTTAAATAAGCTATTAATCGTTTCTTTTTTTAGGAAAAACAAGTACAAAATATTTTTTCTTCAAACCATAAAAAAAAACTATTAACTTCAAATTTACGCCATAGTAACTACTAATCTCTTCAGAACAGGTCACGCACATATCAATGAGGATTCTGAAATAATTCATAACTGATTTGTATATGTCTCTTATCGTACGTTAAGAATTTTTATTTCATTTGTGAATTTCACTAGTAATAACTAGAAAGTTGACAAAGATGTAATAAACAACATTTCCAGCAAATTAAAATTAGAAAATAAATAAAAATCACTTAGTTCGACATACATTTATTTCGTTTTTGAAGTAAATCTCGTCATGAAAGTATTAATCATTTATTGATGATTATTTTTTTTTTTGCAATCTACTCAATGAAATAGAATACTTTGATTATTATATAGATCCAATTGAGAAAATGCATGTATTTTCTTAGCCAATAAAAACCTTCATACAGAATTAATTGATATTTTATAAAAAAAAAAAAAACTTATTAGTAGAGCCTCTGTCAGGCTAATATATAGAATTGATACATTTTATTTAGCTTCAGTATACTAATACAAAGTGAAAAATCTCTAACAGACAATAGTTGCTTTCCAACAATAATACATAAATCTTGTGTTATTTATTTCCGTCTTTGAATCAGAAAATTTTTTTCAAACTAGTGCGTGTTATTTAAATTGTTTCTTTAATCTCATTCTTCATAATTTATTATTATTTTATGCACAATTGATTTAACTAATAACTAAACGTATTATAACTATTCGTTATATTTACTAGTAGACCTTGACGCACTATTACGTATCTCGATCAACTCAGAAACATTGATATTGATTATCTCCATTTATTAGAACTCGATGAATTTATACTTTTCTGTAGATCATATGACATTTGTGTCAAAGCAATAATTCACTAGACAACATATTTGACATCTATCATATGACTGTTTATTTTCACAAAAACAAAACATGTAGTATACTATTTAGAATATAGAAAGTTGTATTTCAGCCACTTAAATGCCAAAGAAGACTTTAGAATATTCTAGAACTGTCAATGACTTGATGTTGATACCGTTCAGCGCTTTTTCTTCATTGCTAAAAATATTATGAGAGATAATTCTCATGCTCATGATTTTTGACTGCTATGAAAAGATACTCACTGAACTTCTATCTTTGACCCGATAACTAAGACCTCATGTGAAGAAGTTGACAAAGCCTTAAGTTTAACTTATTCTTATTATACTCTTCGAAAAAAAAAACATAATTTGATTTCTATAAAATGACCTAGAAGTATATGCTATGAGCCATTTAATATACAATTTATTATGAGTAAAAATTTATATTTATCAAACAAGATACAATCTATTTCTTCACAGATCTTCAAGTTTATTTTTTGAATACTTTTACACATAACTTACAACTTAATATTTTTTTTACATTAGAATCAATTCAAACTAAGATAATTTATTTTAGAATCTTATCTTAGCTACTAAGATCTATTTTGTATAAAAAGATATCTTTAAAAAGCAAAAGTTGATATAATGATAATTCAATACATAAAAATTGACTCAATAAACAATATCCATTAACTTATTAGCTTGAACAGTCATACTACTATCTATTCTATTTACTTTCATCATGCAGTTATATAAACATTATCTTTACTTTCATTACTTCATAAAAACTAATCGAATACGAATTCGAATCAGATTTTATATATATGTGTCTATGATTTCTTCATAGTGTTATGATAAAACAAATGAATACATATTTATCGAACAAGTCATTAACATTTTTTCTCATTTCCGATTCAACTTACTAAAATATTTTACTTTGATTTTCAATAAGTTTTTTTTTTTTTTTCTAATCAAACTTTTCAAATGATGAATTCAACTATTCAATAACAATTTAAAAAAACATCAAAGTTAACATAACTACATTTCTTTTCACATAGGCACTCTTAAAAATATTGTCCACTTGACAATAGATGTTAATTATTTTACATTTTTTTTTTTGTTATTCCTTTTTTTTTATAAAACATATAATGAAAAAATATTACAACACTGTTCTTCTAAAGATTTGATTCATTTATTTAAAGCTAAATCTATATTCATGTCGTCTAGTCAATTAAGATGTCATTGTAGATTTCGTATTTTTTTTTGAAATATTTTATTGAAATTGAAGTAGAAGAAAAAAAGAATTCCTCATTATAATCAACATTAGAACAAAAAAATTCACAAGAGTCCTCTTATTTCATATGCATCAGGTGGATAGTCGGCGTCAACTGAGTGCATAAAATTAATAAGACAAATTATTGTGTCTCTCTCTCATCGAATTTTTTTTTTTTCTTATTCATATATGCCCTCAAGCTAATGAATAGCATTACCTTCAACCGACTAATGAGCATGTAGTTAAAAACTGATGTGAACTTGAATATAGACAGACAAGTCGTAAGTAAATTTGGTAAATGTATTTATTTCACACATACTTCTTTTTTTTTTTTTATTTCATCGAGTACTGTTTCAAACAAAAAAAAAACAAAAATCAATCATCTGACAACAAATACATAAAGTTTTCAATATGTATCACAGATATAAAAAAAACGAAAATAAACGACTAGAAAAAAAATCATTAATTAATGATTTTTTTTTGTCTTCATCGTTTATTATAAAATCCATTTGAATAATTAACAAGAATAATATTAATAAACAAAATAATATAAAAATTATATGTACAAATTGATGTTTGATTAAGTAGAAGTTCAATTTGTGCTAAAAAAAAAGAAAATCAAAAAATAACATAATGAAATCATTAGAATGTCTATTGACATAGGATGTATAAGCAAATGAGAGAACAAGATATTATTCTAAACACGTCATGTCCACTCAAACATGAGATTAATTGTATATGCTTGAACAACAACAACTTGTAAGGATGCCGCCCTTAACAAACACACTTTTAGTACTACCATTCATTCGTTTTCTTTTTTTTTTCTAGACTGTCTCACAAAGCTAATCTTCTTTCCATTTGCCAGATGTAATGAAACCTACCGTATGATGATGATGATGATGATGCTCGGTGATATTTTGGTAATATAGTTGTTGTTCTATTGAATAAAATTGTTTCTAAACATAGAAGAGGAAAAAAAAATTTTTCATTATTAAAAATAAAAGTTTTTGTTTTTTACCATCAATATTTATATATGCTTTTGAAACTTTAAAGTGATTTTCAGCTTCACATTCATACATTCCAAATATATTTGTATTTGTCTAGAAAAATTAAGAAGAAAGTTTTTGTGTGTGTGTGTGTGTGTTTTATAAAATATAAACAAATGGAATAATATTATTTCACAGCTGGAAATCACTTGTTAACATCTGTTTTAACTTACATCTAATAAAAGTATAAGTTCAACTGTATAATCATTTATTTGTTTACGTTTTATAGTATTTATTTCAAAACGATTTCGTTTCCATTTAGCTGAATTTAATGGACGAGCTATAATTGTACAATTAAGTATTATATGAGATGATATTATTGATGATTGAATTGTCATTTCAGGTGAAACTAAAACAAAAAGAAAAATAATGAGTAGGTATAGATGATTATAATGACAGAAAGAAAAGACATGTGTCCACTTTCGAGATTGTCTTGTCGCTTATCACATATGCACACAATCAATCAGTATATAAGCGCATTAAAACTAATCATTATATTATCATCGACCTCCCATTGTGTTTAAAGAAAATGGAAAAAGAAAGAAAGTTTTCTTTTCTTTTTATCTTAATTTGGATAATTGAGTCATAATACTCAAGAGTATTCTTATTCATATAATAAAATATACATTTTCTTTTTTTTTTACATAATAGAAATAAAAATGATATTTACTCGATGGAAATAAACGTTTTGTACGTGTATCTCGTGGTGGTATTCCATTATCAGCAATACATTGATAATCAATTGGTGTTGTACGTGAAAGATTTTTAATAAGTAATTTATTTTCATAAGCAATTATATCTAATAAATATAAGAGAGAAAAAAATAAAATTATTAGTTTTTTTTAAGCTTAATTTTTGAAATTTCTTACTGCCATCATTTCGTTTATTTAATTGAAACGATTTTCCTGGTAGTTGCCAAATAATTTTTGGTTGTGGTATTCCTCGAGCTAAACATTTTAAAATAATTTGTTCATTTTCTTTAAGTATTTCATTGTTATTTGATTCAATTATAATATCAATTATTTTTGGTGGTGCTAAAATAAAAAGAAATATCTAATTAAATATGTCTAGCACTTTTAAAAACACTTCATTCTAGACATTGTAACTATTACGTTTAGTAAAAAAAAAGAAAGTCAAAATGTATAGATGTTTAATAGTTCGATTAATGAAACCTAACAAGAAAAGGTGTGAGAGAACGCTATAGGGAGTCTTCTATTATATAAAACCTGTCTCGTCATTATTGAGATAAAAACAAAACAAAAAAAAAGAATGTTTTTGATTTTATACAAATTTTATAGGTGTTAAAAAGATATTGTTTATATCTCATCAAATAACAATCGGAAGCGCCTTTCTTGATCAAATCAAGTCACAGATGTATGTGAGATATATATGAGCTTACTCAAAACGGTTAAATTAAATCGTTTGATGATTGTCAATGTCTGATCATCAGATGAAGATGAAATACGACACGTGTATTCTCCTGCATCATCATCTGATACATCAGATAAAATCAAAGACCAAGTCCATGCATATCTAAAGAATTAAAAATATAAATATCAAATTTTTCTTTTTCTTGTCTATATATAAGCAATTTAATACATACGTATGTTCAAGTATAAATCGTGTTCGATCACCACTTGCAACAATATCTTCGTTAGTTTTGGTTATTAATAAACGTCCCGTGGGTCCATAGAAATCCGCCTAGAATACATCGATTCTGTCATATATGTCATCCTAATCTTATATTATATATATATTTCCCATGTGTGGATACGCGACGTAATCATGTTTATTATGCTTATTTTATTGTAGATAGAAGAGAAAAAAAGAATGATAAATAACATGAGAACATACTTTTTTGTTAGAATATTTTTCTGGTAAATCACATATAAATGTAGCTGTTTCACCTGTATTAACAGATATATTTTCCAAATAATCATCTGATAATATTATTGATGAAGATAATAATAAACCAAAACTAATAATAAAAATTGAAATCATATGAAGTATTTTGTTTTTTTTGTTTTAATCACGTCGTTTTTTCATTGTATATCTAGTCAAAAGAAAAAGAAAACAGTGAATAATAATCTCAAAAGAAAGTTATAGTAATGCCAGCAGCATCACTCGTTCATTATTCAAATGACTTTTTTTCCCATCTCTCTCTCTCTTTTTCTCTTCTTCTTTTCTCTCTGTCTATCGTTTTTTTTTCTCTGTTTTGTCCATAGAATGAGAACATAGACATAATTATAGTTGAGCGTGTATGTGAGTGTGTTCACTTTTGATGCGGTGCATGCGTGCATAGGACTAAGGAAGAGAGAAATAAAGAATAAAAAAAAAAAGCATGACTGATTATCATCTTTACTTATAGAGAATTGTACGAAAGCGATTGTGAGGAAAGGAAATTATGAACCTTGGACAAATTGAAAAAAAATCATCTTACTGGAACATTAAACAGCGTTCATTCACGCACACTTATGTATATATATATATAGATGTATAAATCCCTTGGCTTTCGTCGTGTTTATTTCATTATAGTCTATCTACACAATGAGATTACTCAAGGACAGAAATTCTTTTGTTTTCTTATTCTACACCCAAAATTAATTGTGAAATAATATTGAACAACAGAAAGATAAGCATTTTTGTCAGATGATTATAAAAAAAAAAGAACCAAGTAAAAAGGTCAGAAAAGAAAAAAAAAGAATTATTCACCTATGTTTAATGATCCATAAGCATTTGTATATTTAATGTTGTCGGTGATTTAGTCAAGGTATACACTTGAATAACTTTCGTTCTCTTTCTGTGTCTCTCCCTCCTGCTAGTCTGATTAAATTCAAGCATATACATACAATTAGAATAGAACTTGTTTGAAGATTTGATTTTTTTTTTTTTCTCTTTTGTTTCTTGCTTATTAGAATGACGACGAAAGGAAGTGCACTGCCGAGAATAGAAAGAACAGAGTGAAAATATATTCAATCTGAATACAAGCGGAAAAACGACAATTGTACGCGACAAACAATTCTATGACCTGCTGCTTATAAATGTTCTATATGTACGTTCATATACAGTTGAAATAATGATAGAGTAAAGTATTAATTGAAATAGGAGAAAGGAACAGCGGTGGTAGTATGAGTTCAAATTTCTCTTTTTTCTCACAGACAAAAAAAAACCGACGAACAAAGACATGATCAAAGTGCATTTACTATTATTCTATAGTTCATTGTTATAATCAGTATATACATATATATATATACAGAATCGATGAGGTACCGGATTACTCAATCCACTAGGATTGTCTTGTTGTCTGATCTCATATTTGTGTATATCTATGAGAAACAAAGAACAGATGGAAGAGATGAAGGACAAGATTGCAAACATTCTTTATCACTGATCATACGAACAAAAATGATAGCGACAACTTATTTAGATATTTGAAGTTGATCTTGTCGTTTTTTTTTTATGGTTATTTAAGTGATGTTTGAGTACATCAATTAATTGAGAGACCAAAAACAAAAAAAAAGAGAAAAATGTAATTCAAGTACTATCAAGTTATATCCGCATAACTGTTCCTATTAAGTGACATTTTTATCAATAAAACAAAAAAAAAAAACATAGTTTAGAAAAAGAAAGAAACAGATCATATTTTATGCAAAGAATTAACAAATAAGAAACACCTCTGGCTACATCTTGACCTTTTTGCTAAACTAAAGTCATAATGTGTTAAAATCAATTCTAAAAGTCGGAAAGATTTTTTTTCATATGAGATCTGATACTTAAAAGCTATTGTTACGTCATCAATAGACATTGATATACATTATTTGCACTATGTCGAATCAACATGCACAGGAAAAAAAAATGTATTACAATAGGAAAATGATTGATTAAATAGTTAATTGATGATAGAAACAGAATATCACGTATAGCTTGGAATAAACGCATTTGTTTTGGTTATTATTCACCAATGATATAGAAACACTATCTTACATGAGATTGAAAAGAAAAGCATACGATGACATGATGACCTATTAATCGTTTACATAGGATTATTGATTTTATTGTTTAATACTCTCTATCTATAAAATAGTGAACTGTAGATGAAGAAATATTTATACATCAATCGATTTATTGTTTAACAAAAGGATTAGATTTATTTCATGTTTAATCATGATTGTTGATCATGGATTATTTTCAATTTAAATTTATGCATCTTTCTTGATAGTAAAATTTTTACTTTTTAAACAATTATAATTTAGTTTTTTTTTTTTTCGCATGATTATAAAATAAGCTTATAATTAAATAAATATTAGCCTATATAAAAATAAAAGGAGAAAAGTTTATTAAAATGTTTTTAAAAAAAAATGTTATCACTCAAAAATACGCATAAAAATCAATAAAAGTCTATGAAAAGTTCGTTCTTTTTGTTTTTTTTTATAAAGCTGTTCGTGCCATAACTATTTCACGTGCAGCATCATCATTCTTAATCTCGTTTTCAGGTACATGCCAGTTTTCTTCATCATCAAAATCTTTCTCTGTTTGAGCAAATATTGGTATTCGTAATATAATACCTGTTATAAGTCCACCAACAATAGCCATAGCGAATGTAAGTCCAAGTGCAGCTGCTTGATATGCAGATTGAGTACTATTATCTCGAGATTTTCCACCACTACGACATGTATCTGTTAAATGATTTAAATAACCTGAACGAGTACCAATCGAAGCAACAATAATTCCTGCTATACCAGCCATTATTCCTGGCATTCCATGTAAATTATTTACACCACATGTATCATGAAAACGTATACGTTGTAATCGAGGTAAAAGAAAATGAAAACCTAAAACTGATATCATACCAGCAAGTGTACCAATAACCATGGCACCATGAAGACCAATATCTGATCCCGATACTGTTCCAACTGCAACTCCACCAGCTAATGTAGAATTTTGTACATGAACCATATCAAGTTTATTTTTTTTAAGAAGAGATGACATAAGAAAAGCACCAATAACTGAAGCACATATTGATACATATGTATTCGTAACAGCATGAAGACGATCAGAACCACTTGTAGTACCAGCATTAAATGATGGCCAAAAACAAAATAAAAATATTGTACCAATCATTGAAAATATATCTGATGTATAACGTGATTTTTCTAGTGGATTATCAAGAATATTGGAACGAAATAAAACAAATGAAACAGCTAAACCAAAATATGCACCTAGAATATACATATACAAAGTTTGTTTTTTTTTTTATCAAGTATAAAAGTAGATTTAGAGTCTAATTACCAAAGACATGAACATACATGGATTCACCAGGATCAATAGCACAAAATAAATGTAAACCAATCCATTCATTAACAACTTGTATAGGTACTTCAATAGCTGCCATTAAAATTAATTGAACAGCATTTACTTTTCCTAAAACAGCCCCCATTGATATAAGTATACTAGCTGATACGAAATCTGCTGTTGCTAAACTTTGTATATCAACTATAAATTTTTGATCCGTAGTACTCCAATCGAATAAATAGCCACGTATAATTATAGCCCATTCTAATGTAAAAGCACATAAAATAAAATTAAATCCAACAGCTGAAAATGAATATCGACGTAAAAATGTCATTAAAAATCCAAAGCCAATGAACATCATAACATGAATATCGGTGTACATAGCATAGTAAAACTCCACAAGACCACGCGGTGGTTCTTCAAAATTAGTAACATTTGAAACTGGGTAATATTTATACTCGCTATGAAAGCCAAGTAAAAATGTGAATATAATTTGAAAAATAAGTAATATTAATGGAAATAAAAATCGACGAATATCGGCCATTTTTCTGTATTTAATCTAGTAATAGATATGTTTCAAAATGCAGTCGTTCTTATATATGTGCAAAAGAAAAACATTCACTGTGAAAAAAATCTTTTTCTCTATTAAAACAAGAGCCTGTCATGGTCAAAACTTTCCACTCGAGCTCAATTACAAGGACATGTTTACATTTGATATTGGTCGAATTCGAGATCGATCTGTGATGGGGGATTAGCCAATACTACTCTCGTTTGTTTTTGATCTTGTTTTGGATATTGTATCTCAACTGTTATTTATAAAACAGTTGAAAAAAAAAGGACCGAGGGATGTATTAATATAATAGATGCAATAAAAAGCCGATGCTTTGTCAATAGTTTTTCTTAGATTTGTAAGGCTTTTTAAGAAAAGAACGAAAAAAAAAAGATCAACAACAGAAATCGAATTTCATGTTTCTTTCTATTTTAAGAATACTGTATTTTTTTTAGACGAAGTTTAGATAGAATTGTTATTTGTTTTCTAATATGGCTTCATATTCAACTGCACAACTGTATTGAAATGCGATGATGTGCATAATGTTATTACAAAAAAAAAATGGAGCAATGTTTTGTTTGTATCAACGTATCAAATATGACCTTAAATTATAGTCGTTAAACAATGTGGTTTTTTTTTTGTGTTACATCGAACGAGCAATATATTCATAGGAGTAAATTTCTGTTTTTATAGTTTCATATAATAAACTCGTTAAATCTTGAAATCAAATAGCCGAAAGTGAAAATGTTGTAAGTTAGGAGACCTTGTAAACTTGAGACGAAAAACTTTTTCAAAATTTTGATCCATACAACATACAAATGCATAAAGAACAATAGTAATGATGAAAGAGAAGAATATGTGATCAGAAAAAAAGATTATGATTTTTGATGTTTTTACTTTGAACATTTAATCATCCAACCGTCTCATATTCAATTTGTTTTATTTACCAAAGTCATACTCAATAGTGCGTAATGCAAAATCTTTTATTTCTGTGAGTGTGACAACTTGTAGTTCTGATTTGAGAAACTGTTAAAAATATTGTTTCTTCCCGATAGGAATCGATGACTAGATGTAGTTCTTCGAAGTCATCTATTATAAAAATTTTCATTTCTAACAACACAACAAAGGTATTCTGATCATTGAAAATGGAGTTCTTGATAACAATGAAACAATTTTGACATAGCTCAGTTCCGTTCAAAAGAACTCATTACAAAGACAAGTTCTGAGTAAAAAAATATGTTTGCACATATCAGTTCCTACCAAATGTACTACTGTTCGATCATTCTATATCTCATCTGATTTAAACTTGTTAATCTGTATCTAATGCAGAGCAATCGGTGTATTGAATGTAGGTATATTTAATGTGAAATCAAATGTGTTTCTTGTGACATGTACGCTTTTCATAGACCAAAAAAAAACAGACAAAAATAAAAAATATAATGAATTATAATAATGTAATTTGAATTCAGAATGTCCATGAATCAACGAAAACTATATCTATTAGTACAGCAGATTATTTGTGCAATATTAATAAATAGATAAATTTCAGCAACATAAACAGAGCCTCAATACTATTCACACTAGACATTTTTCTGTCGATTAATTTTATGCGATTCATTGTTATTTTGTTTATTTAAACACTTTAAAAATGTAAGAGGAACTTAAATCAATAGACAGAATAAATATGATGCTTCTGTTTCATGGTAAAATCAATATTAAGACACTCCCATAAGTTAGAAGATATTTTTAGTTTTTAAACGACGCATAGCGAAACACAAATAGAAATTACTCATTTTGTTTCTGCACGGCTGAAAACGCATATATATATGATAGTAGCAGCAAATTGTAATCGATATTTTCAACTTGAAATTCAAGGTTCTTTTTTTCGATTTATTTGTCATTTACATAAGTCCAAAAAAAAAAAATAAGAATAAATAAAAAAGCAAAAAAAAAACACTCAATGTTTATTTGGTTTCGACTCAATTCGATTTAGTGCGTCGTTCGTGTATGGTTGATTTTATACATTAAACTCAACAAGATTTTTATCATGCATATATTTGACCAACTATAAAGCGCTTTGATGTACTCTGAATGTCAATATGAGACTTCAAAAGTTAAAAAAAGAAAACATTAATATATTCATTTTTGATATGGATAAATATAAAAACGAGAAGTAGTTCTTAAAAATTTCTTATGCATTTTTATGACAATCAAATCAATTTATTTTATAAAGGTTACCAACACTTATGATGCATGAGAAAAATAAAATTCAAAAATTGAAAATCATTTTTTTTCTCTTTTTCTTTGTTTGCCTCAGTGATGTTTCTAATTATTCTAAAAAAAGAATTATGATTAATATTAAGAATAAAGTTAAATAAATTTGTTTAGACTGATCTATACACGTTCAGTTATATGGACATCGAATTTTATATGCAGTTTATTTTTCTTTTTGATTGTAAACATTCAAGATAACCTTCACAAGAGAACATCGAGGATCACCTCAGTATTGAAGACACTTGACAAAAAAAGAGAATTTTTCTATTTTTTCTTTTTTTCGTGCATTCGAACTATCAATGTCTGCAACCACTAACCTGCAAGTTTTAACTTCCAATAATCTTTCTTCGAAAAGTTAACTAACACTGAGTTTTAGTATCATCATATCTTAATAAGAAGAAAAAAAAACAGTAAAAATCGTCCTATAAAGTTATGCTGACTTTTATTTCAGCAAATCGTTCAAATTTTTATGAAGTATATTTAAATATAGGCCATCAGCAATTGAAAAGAATGAAGTATTTAAAGTATTGTATATCATCTATTTATTGAGATTATATAGCCTAACAAAGGTGAAAACGGATACAATTCATGAGTTTTATGACGATTGATTTTTGGTAGTATATCTGTTGCCATTTTTTCAAAGCAAGAGAACTCAAGGTGAATTTTTGATATGTTATGTCGCTTTTGTTCCTGTACAAAATGATAACAAAAACGGTTATGCTTGGCCCGAACAGGGATTAATACTGTCTGTAACTCAGTGAATTTCCTTGAGGAAAATAAACCTGGACACTATTTAACTGAAATTGATGATTGGAAGTTTTTAACTGGAAGAAATGAGAACTTTATCATGGAAAGAAAGTTCTGAATAGTTTGTTCGAAAAAAAGAAAAAAAAACAACTTTCGATCATCGTACATCCTTGACAGTTTTGATTATGTGTAGATTTAACTTGAAAATAAATTGTCCTTATTTAATAATAGATATGAATTATTTAACTTATCTTGCTTAATGTAATTTTATATCATCAAGAATTGTTCTCTTATCAATGCAAACAAATTATAATAGGTTAAGCAGGATTGAATCTCTAGTAGTTGATTAAAATATAGAATTTTACTTTTTATTTTCTTTGAATGATTTTATAAAAAAATAAAGAAAATACTCTTTTATACGAAAGTTATTTTAATGACTAAACAAACTTTGATCTTTTTTTTTTGCACGATCAGTTACCTTAGAATCTTAAGCGTTGCTAAGTAGAAAAAATTTATTTAACATTATCATCAAGGTATACTAAATTCACGTGATTCAAACGTGACAAAAAAAAGAATATCAGTAGATTGTTCAGTAAAATGTGCGGTATGCTAGTGGTAGTTAGATGCTCGAATGGTTGACTATTGTCTTTCTGTCATTCTCGTGCAATATATCAATAGTTGTTCTTTGACCGACAATTTACTATTAGGGTAATGTCGGCACACATATGACACTAAATAGTCGAAAATTTTTAAAAAATTATTCATCGAGTTTTAGTATTTATTCTTTAATATATTGATAACTAGCATTGACTATGGATAGAATTTTGATAATTACCAGTTCATTGGTCATTGATATTCATCGATATTAGGAAAATGGTTATCGATTTGAATCAATCAACATAGAATATAAAATAATAATTATGTCTGATTTTGAAATGAAGTGCTAATATAGTTTTCTGATCATTGAAGAATTTTAATGTTTTTTTTTTGTTTTTATTTTTATCAAATTGAAAATATGAATTTCTCATTAATATAAATCTATGAAATTTTAATAATTTTCATTAGTGTACTTTAACAAATATTTAGCAAATAGATTAAGTAAATTTTATTAATTATACTCATCTTCAACAAAATTACTTATTTAAAAAAAATAATTCAAATAAATTTTTCTAGATATTTTTTTTTTTGATTATTATTTGATTGTATTTCAATTCTTATTAACGTTTCATTAAAACTTATTTCACATGAAAACTTTCTATTCGAATTTTAATTTAAGAAATCTTTACCGAATGATACAGTGTAAAATTTGTTGTGAATATAATCATTAACATAAAATTAAACATTGCAATTTAATTAAAAGAATTTCAATAGAGTAAAATAATTATCAAAGATTTTTCTATTTTTTATTCTCTCTTGTTTATATAAAACAGAAAATTTTCATATTACAAAACAGTTATATTTCAACATCTTTTTTTTTTTCGTAATACGTAAAAAATTCTAATATATCGCAAAATATCATTCATGTTTAATTTTGAATTGAGAAATTTTTTTTTTTTTTTTTTTGTTGATTTTAACAAGCAATATTATGTAATGTATGGATGAGTTCTCGAATTGATGATGCTTCTGATTCGGAATCAACATGAAGACTATTGTGAGTTATTCCTGATGAAAAACTATATAAATAAAATAAATAGAAAAATACATAATATAAACAGAAACAAATTGAAAATTTACAAAAATATAAATCTGGTACAAATTAAATTTGGATCTCGAATTGTCCAAATATCTTTGGAATGTTTTTTATATACATCGGGTGAATTAATAACTAAAAAAGAAAAAAGTAAATTTTCAAAATGAAAAATATTATCTTATTACTTTCACATAAAGCAATACAACCCCAATTTCGTTTTTCAAGTGGAGATTTCTAAAACAAAATCATTCAATATTTATAATATTTTTAAAAATCTAATTAAGAAAAAATTTGTGATATATAGACAGAGTATTTACTCAATCGATAGATCCAAATCAATCATAGAATAATTTGTTGTATCAAATATTTTGAACAGACATAACTGTTAACATTACTAAAGTCAAGCATTGTTATCAATTTTTCGATTAAACAAAATCTAGTTTATCACAAATTAATACTGTTAATTATGCTCTTAAAGTTCGATATGATTTTGTTTAACGTATTAGTTCATTGTTAAAATACAGCATGAGCTATGTATAGATATCTCTAAGAAGTTCAAACTTCAACTTCGTTGGAATCAGAATTGATATAAACTATAGAAACTTCGAAAATTTTTTTTCATTTTTTTGTCTCATGTTACATAACTTGATGAAAACTATCTGAAACTCCGGTTGTCTTTTGTGAGTTTTTTTTATGGTTCTAATTTAAGGCTCCCCTCAAAAACCGATCTCGGTTCAGGTATGTTCAAATGGCATGAAATTTTCAAGATATGTTGGGGCTGTAGTGGAGAGGCTATGGTAAAATTGTCAGCTCGATATCATGATGTATGACAGAGATATGCACCAAACAAGGGTCAAAAATATCTCATTTGACAAACAAGATTTCTCTGTCCGGGCTCTTTCAATATATTAAAATTTTTTTTTTGTTTAAAAGAGCATCTCAAGATATAGTGCCTACTAGAATCCTTTTTTTTAATTCTTACTTTTTAAGCGGAGAAAAGAGATCACAAGTTCAATGACTAAGAAAACCCGCTAAAAATGGGCGCCAATTTACATAAGTGACTGTATATATAATAAAAATCAAGCTTAATTTAAAACAAGGGCTCTGATAGGCACTGCATCTTGACATACACTTTCAAACAAAACAAAAAATTTAAATACATCTCATGGATCTGAACTGAGAAATTTGGGTTGCGCGTTTGACATATCAGGAACTGAGAAAAAAACGAAAAAGATTTTCGTTTTTTTTCCAAAAACAGCTTATTTTTTGAATAGGGAATGACGGAAATCTTCAAAAATTTTTGGAAGAAACGAGATGCCGAGTAAAAATTATTGTCGTTTATGAGAGATCAGATCACGGGCTATCTTTTCCTGCATTTATCTTAATTTCGATCATTCTGACGAAAAGTGACTTTTTTGAGGGGGAGAGGAGGCCTTAAGAGCATTCTCTTCTTGTCTTATTAGATTTTGAATCGTTTCGCATGATAAGATCTTGACAGTCATTCCAGGTATTTTAAAAATATACAAATATATTGAAAAATTTAATCAATTTTTAATTTTCCTATCTAAAATTTTAATATAGCTTATTTATTCGTTTATAACATTCTCAAATCAGATATAATTCATGATAATATACTAATCTTGTATTACATAATGTCTTTGAATATGTAAGCTATCACTTATACATAGGAAGAAAAAATTTTAAAGTTCAAAAAGTTTTATTTCACAAGCATTTACCGAAGTATAGCTCAAGAAAGAAAAATATCAATTGAAGATAGAAATTTCATAATTGATCTAGAGATATGTTAAGAATACGCATTCATTTGAAATGATAGAAAAGAAATAATCAATACATAACATCTACTTACAATTACAAATTTATATTTTAAAAGAATATAATACTCAATATATGGATTGATCATTATTAAAGTTAATTTGAAAATGATTAAAATTTGTTTAAATGATACATAAAAACTAATAATCAAATTTTAAAGACTATGAGTAACAATAAGTATCATTGAAAATTTTATAAATATGATAACAAAAAAACATTCTTTACAACTTATATTGTCAAGATATTCTAAGAACCATTAGATCTATGAAAAGATACAACTTCAAATCGAAACTCTGATATTCTATTTTTTTTCGTGAACTAGCGGCACATGAGTAAAAGTCTTGCATATTTGTAATAACTAGGCGTCAAAGAGGGTGACGTACTTTTTGTCTCAAGTCATTCCGAACTCCGGACATGTGTCCGGATGTTCGGAAATGAATTTTTGTCTTTAAAGATTTATGACCGAGCGTTCGGAATAGAATGCTTCTTGATGTAGTGATCGGAGATCTCAATGAACAAGGTCGATTGTTCGAAATGTATGTCTATCGGTATTGTTACAGAAAAAAGACCGGAAGAATGGAATGACATTGGCAGGAAGTTCGTAAAAGAATTTACTAGGAGATCATAACGGATATAAAGACTGTTTCTATAGGCAAGAACGACTGTAAGAAAAGCGTGTCACTTCACAATCTCTCAAAGATGAGTAAATCTCAACATAGTTACGAACATCCTGCCGTTTTCATTTCGGACACCCTTTCTTTGTCATGATGAACTTTCGGATTTTCTCATTCCAATCTCCAATCAAAATTTCATTGTTCAACCATCAGTAATGGGTTGTCAGAGTTCGTCACGAACTTCTGGACAAATTTCATTCCGAACACCCTGTCTTTTGTTCTTATATGCGGAGATCGTAACGGACTATTTCTACCGGAGTTCGTAATGAAAACGTGAGACGAAAAGTTACTTTCCCGTCAAAGATTCATGAGAACGAATAATTTTAAAATTTTGATAGTTTCACTGAGATTTTCTCCTATATTCAATATGAGCTCAAACGACGGATCTCATTTGCTTAAGAAAGAAAATTTTTGTCTCAATAAATATTTAATCTATAAAGAGTTTTGATATTTTAATAACTTTCATCGTAAGCTTACTTCTGTATTAGATTGATTATAATTAGTGTATGAATCTCTATGAAAATTCCAACCATGACACCGTGTATATGATGATGAAAATTCAAAACTAGGTGAAACATAAATACCGGCACCATACGCTGCACCATTTATCTAATTCAATAAAAAGGATTTTTTAATAAATAAATAAAATAATTCTTCTTACTAAATATCCTCCTTTTCCAATTTGTAAACCTGATCGAAGAATTGAATGCCAATTTTCTTGTGGTGAACCATGAAAAGCAAAAATACTTCCTTTTTCAGTACGTAATTTTTTAAAATTAACATGTTTATCAATATCTTCATGTTTTATAAAATATTGATATTGTGTATCAACAGTTTTAATTCGATAATTTTCTGGAATTAATGAAAAATGATAACGATTTGTTCCCATTAACCTAAATAAACAAAAAAAAAACAAAGATCTCATGAAATTAAAACAAAAAACAAAATATAATTATTTTCTTTATTTTTACCAATGAAAAAATGAAAAACCCCATGGATGTTTTAATTCAATCATACTTCTTAATGATATTTTAGCAGCTTCATATTGTGTTATTGATCCCATTGTCATTATATCATTTATTATTGTTTTTAATATTTCAAGATTATTTTCTTTCTAAAAATGAACAAAAAAAAACGGATTCTTGTATCTTTTGTTTATTCGTATTTCTTTACATTTCCATTTTGATCAAGTAATGTTGTTGATGTATTATATGGATTTATTAATTTTGGATAAGGATCAAGAATTAATGCATGTCGATGAGAATGAATAGCAGCATAAACAAGTAAGAGAAGAAAATCTGCAATCTAAATAAATACTTTGCTTTTTTTTTTTTTCTAAAAATATTCTTGACAAATAATATCAAACAAACTTCAATAGAAAATATTGATGGTGGAAGAGGATCATTACGAAATTTTGAATCCATTGCATTACTAAAACATTCATAATCATCACAAATTGTTGGCTAAATGAAATAATTATAATTGTGAAAGATAAGAAAAAGAATTCATTTTTACTTTTGAAGCTTTTTTATCAGTTGGATCAAATGTACGTTTTCCACACATAACACACAAAGAATTTAAATTTTTCATACGATATTCAAAATATGTACAAAACTAAAAATAAAAGATTTTTTTTTAATATATAATGTTTGAAAAATTATCTTCAATAAAAAGAAAATTATATGTCTTCAATGTGTTTAAAATAAATCCAATGATTTTCTGTTTTTATTAATAAAATTAAAGTTTTATAAATACTCATGTAAAAATATAACTTTCAAATCAAATATACAAAAAATCTTTGCCATCTAAATATTCTTCTCATATTTGAAAAATCACAAGTAATTTGTATTTTTTTACAATCATTAACCTTTTGAGTCCCGGTTTTTTCTTGTGAAATTCGAAACTTTATTTAATGAAATTTTAAATATGATTTTTATTTCTTTACGAAGAAATTATATATTTGTCTAAAAAATTCATTAGTAGTTCATCTTCGGTATGGTTGTCTCTAAAGCAATCAACAGCACATAGAGATGTATTGCAGCCAAAACAAATATATCGCGTAGGGTCAGATGTCGAGATGGATGTAGTGTGTGGGTGTGGATATCGATTTGAAGTTATCACGACTCAGACCTACCACGACAGATTTAGATGATCTCTGAATCCTCAACGTTGGAACTCAAAGGCATAGAGCCTACATGAGGTACTTAGAAGAATATGTCCAACATCCTTACGCAGGCTCTGTGGTACTAGGTTCCAACGTTCAGAATTCAGAGGTCAACTAAATCTGATGTGATAGCTTCAAGCCGTACTACATTCACATCGATGATGTCGGATGTGATTCTTTTGCCTAGTACACTATATTCACTTCACAACCACAGCTAATAAACGATAAAAAGATGTTCCAAACAATTAAAAAAAACACTAGAAGCAACGAATTTTTTTAAGTAAATAGGAATACACCGATTTTTCGAACCTGATGTCACAAGTAATTTTTTTTCTTCTTCTTTATTACCATTAGATGATACCTAAGAATAGTTTCGGTAAGAGCATTTAACACTGATCACATTTGGAATGAAGATTATACTCAAAACTTTGATTCAAAACTCACAGCATTGATTTATCTCTACTTACAAAAATACATGTTCAATATCGAAAATGACTAGACTTCTAAATGATTCTTCATGCTGGTTGTGCTTAACTTTGAATGCTTTGTTCGAAACTACTCTTAGGTTTTGTCTAATAAAAAAATAGAGCTCTCAAAAATCAAAAGAAGCGCATTTACGACCCATTCCGAAACCTTTGTTTTCTATTTCATGACTTTTGACTATAATTTCAGATACAGCGAAAAACATTGATTATGGTTGATATAAAATATTACACAGGAATTATATTCTTAATAAGATATAACATTTGAATAGTGAGAAGTTCAAAAAATTGAAACATGCAAGAGAAAATCCTAAATTTTGTTTTTCGAAACTGAAGAAAAAAAACAATTTACTTGAACAAGATAACCATAATTAAGTATTGGTAATTCTTTTACATCAAAACTATAATGTATTTTTGTATCAGTAGATTTAACACGAGGTAATTTAAGTAATCGAAATTTTTTCGTAAGTCTTTGATTACCATCAAGAATTTCATAGTCAAGTAATTCGTTGAATAAAGTATCATCATGTGCTGTATTTAACATTTCTTCATATTGTGTTCGTTTATTTTCATCAGTTGTAAGTTCTAAACTAAATAGAAGAAAAAAACAAAAGTTTCGTTTTTTTTTCTTAACAACAATGATTAATAAAATGTTAAAAATTCATACAAATATTTTTTACGTAATTCAGGATTTACAGCAGCACGTGATAATTGTAATGTTTCCATTGATATTTGAACTTTTTCAAAGAAATCACGAACAAGTCTGTAGGAATAGTCGTAAAAGAATTTCTTCTAGTTTTATATTTATGTTCAATTGTTTACCGTTCTATGAACGGCACTTTAATTGCATTGACTGGATGACACTCACATGTTTGATATACACGTTTAACAACAACTTAAATAAAAAAAAAAAAGAATATGATAATTCTGATTAGTGCAAGTATTACAACAGTCATGATATCGATTAGAATTTCAGATGATTAATACTCAACTCATTTCAGCTAGATTAGATTGATCGATTACGAGTATAAATTTCCCTTAGTGTTCATTAGAATCAAAATATCAAATTGACATACTCTATTTTGACTAATAATAAACTTTTGAAGATTTAGTTATATTTGTACTGGATTTTTCTGTTCGATTAACAATGTATATGTACGATGTGATGTTTTCAATTAATATAATACTTTTTCAAGTGTAACAATGTCATTTCAAATAGTATCAAACAATAAATTTTATAATAAATTGAAACTTTGTTAAAAATTAAATTCATTCGTATGAATGAATAAAGATTAACAAAGATTTTTTGTTTTTTTAGTTGTCAAATTCTAAAAATTAAACGATCATAGGATGAGGTGAATATTCTTTTAGTTAAGAGAAATCAAACTAGCTGTGACTTAAAAATTAAGGAACCTAGCAAAATAATGTTTATATATTTTATAATTCATCAAATCATAAAAAAGAAAACATACATTTACTATATTCATTATTTTCAAATTAGATCCTTTTTTTTTCTTGAAATAGCACATTGTCATTGTTATGATCTATTCATATTTAGAAGATTTCATAAATCAATAACAAAAAAAAAATCTCAATAACTCTTATTCGTTTTTATGCAGGTAAATCCCATTTTCAATGAGCTATATATAATTCAATATTCAACTTATTGTTTTTTTTTTTATTATTGGAAATCACAATGCTACACCTGGAGAAATATTAATACGCATTCTGTCTATATGAGTTTCATGAATTTAATCAAAGAAAGTTTCCACAGTTAATCCAAACTGATCTTTGATAAATTTAGTCTTTTCACAATAAATTAATATACTTTCAATGCATCATGATTTTGCTTGAATCAAGTCTAATTATAAAGTTTTAGCATGTTAGTAATAAGTTAACAAAGAAATAATATTAAATAATAGTGTCTATTAGTAGTAAGCATGATATTTGAATTAATATCAAGAAACAAAATCAAGCATTGATTAAATCTAAGATGTGTAGGACAGTTATAAGCAAAAATGAAGTAAGCAATAGCAATAAACAAGATTTGATAGTTGATCAATACTCTTTTGAATAGACTTAACAAGAATGTCAGTTAAGAATTTTGAATTATACAAAAAAAAACGATATTCAATAATGACTGAATCTTCAATAGATTCATATTGTACTCAAAATGAGGTTTTGGAAAAAATAAAAAAAAACTCTAAAAATATTCATTCCTATGAATCTTTGAGGTAAAGTTATAAAAAAAAGAATATTTCCTTGTCGAAATATTGTATTTTCAAGTAGACTTAATGTTTGTAGTATGTCTATGACAAAAAAAATATTTGTTGGAAATCCAATATCTCAACTAGGAAACATTTTTTTCCAAATATTGTAAGGATTTGTTAGATGACGTCATCTTTTCTTTCGTTCTATCATTGTTGTGATGTCATCATATAAATGTATTCCATCTATCTATCTAATTTCGTTCTGTTGTCAGGTATGAATGGATATATATTTTCGTTTCCAGTATGTTCCTGTACATTCTCGTTTCGTTCTGTATGAATCTTGTATGTTCCTCTCTAGTGAGTTATTGACTCTTTGGAATTTTCTAGCAAATTTCTTTTGTTTCAAATGTCGCTTACAACAATAAAGGGAAGGATTGTACAGACATGATAAGATAAATTTCTTTCTGATTTACAATTGATTAGTGATTAATTACAGATTATTAGACCTATCTATAAGTGAAATTCTCTTATTCAGTTTTTTCAGTAAATGCTTGAAAAATCAATATAACGGTCATAAGTTGGTTTTAAAGACCCATTCAAGACGAATCCTTTTAGAAAGTTTCTCATCTTATCGAGACCTTCTCATAGATTCAATATAATCTTAGATAGTAGGTTAAAATTGTGACAGTTCCCTTATAAGTTGGCAATCGTATATAATATCTCTGTACGATAAACCATATCGATAGAAGTCATTTTTTTTTTTGTATTTCGTCTGTGAATAATAAGTAGCTGAATATATAAGATTGAATTTACATTTGACTTTCTGTTAAAAACTATGCTCATCAATTATACGAATAGTCTTCGACTCTCAAACTACTACATCATAGTGAGAAAAACTTTTTTTTATATTAGGAGGGTTATAAATATATTCTAGCACGTTTTGTATGTCATTTCATTAATATTGTTAAATATGTAATTATTTAACAGATGTTAATAGAGAAATCGTCTTTTTATACAAACCTTTTTCACCAAGATAGAGTGCATTATGAACTGATATTTCACATGTTAATGGTTTTTTATTACAAATTTGCCATTGACATGCTGTTTCAGTTTCAATATAATCAGTAAAAAAATGAAAAATTAAAATTGAACAATTTGAATCTTCAGTATCTTGTCTAAAATAAAAATTAAAAATAATTTTTTTTTTTTTGTTTCACTAGAATATAATTATATACTTATAGGAAAATCCAGCTAAAAATTCAGTAGATAATTTTGAAAAAACATCAGTTATATCACCTTGTAATAATGGATGAAAATTTGAATCTTTTTTCTAAATAATAAATATATATACATATATTCAAAAATATGAAAAATGAATTTGATGTACAGATATAGTTCTATTTAATATTGGATTTTGTATTGGAATGTTTGGAGTTACTGGTGTTATTTCTTCATCATCTTCAAATTGAGGTTCATCAACAAGACCATCGTCTTGATCGTTGTCTTCATAATAATCTGATACATTTTCTAATGGCTTATTTTCTAAAGGAATAGAACCTTGATCAACAGAATGTTGAGTTAAATCAACAACAATTGGCATTGAAGAAATCGATATTACATTGTCAATTGACGACATTTCTAAAAATAGAAGACAATTGTGTAGATAAAATGATTTCGAAATTATTTAAATAACGGAAGAGAGAGAAAAATGTGACAAAAGCAAATTTTCTTTTTTTTTGACAATAAGCAACCATTCAAATAAAAACCCAAACTGTTATGAATCAGACATTCCTGACCTCTACTTGATTTTTTTTTTTAAATAAAAAATTTATTATTAAGAAATTTTTTTTTCAAAATAATTTATTTATTTTTTTCTTTTTTTTCAAAAATATATTTTTATATTATTATTTTATAACCAATCTTTTATCGATTTGTTGTTGTCGTCTATCTATCTTTCGATATATATTTCGTATTAAATGAAAAGCAAAAATATTCGTCTGATGTAATACAGTTGCAATTACTCTTATGTGTGTGTGTGTTTTTTTTCTGTCTCATTAAATAAATAACTAAATTTATATCTATAAATATACTATTGATTATAGATATTTTTTTTATATTCATTCATTTAACTAAAAAAATATAACTTAAAATAATGAGTAAGACAGGAGCAAATTTTGGAGGCACTGTTGGTTGGGATGAACAAACTGTTATAGGTAAATATTTTCTTTCTTTTTTTTGAAATTACTCAAAACAAAATATTATTGATCTTATTTTTAAGGTAAACGTGCACCACGACCCGGTGAATTAAAATCTGAGTCAGCTATTGCAGCTGCAGAACGTGCTGGTGTTCCTATAGATACATCAAAGAAATTTGCTGCTGGACATAATAAACAACATGAAGCAGCAAAAAATACTGCTGTATTAGATCGTGAAACAGAGGAATTACATCATGAGAGAATTGTTCCGGATGTTGCACGTGCTATTCAACAAGCACGTGTTGCAAAAGAATGGACACAAGCTGATTTAGCAAGACATGTTAATGAAAAACAACAAGTTATTAATGAATATGAACAATCGAAAGCAATACCAAATCAACAAATTTTAAGCAAATTAGAAAGAGCTTTAGGTGTTAAATTACGTGGTAAAGATATTGGTCAACCATTTAGTACTGGACCAAAGAAGAAATGAATTATTTCTATTGTTTTTATTTGACATAAAATAACATTTTGAAATCTTGAACATTTTTCTCTGTTTTTTTTTGCTCATCCTGTATTGTTATCCATGTTTCTTTGCTTTCAAGTTATAAATCATTTCAACTACTTCTTTCTTTTTGCTCATGGACTTTTTTTTTCTTTTTTGACTTTTAAACAAAAATAAAAGATCAGAAAAAAAAATAACTAATTTATTTTGTTTATTTAATAATGCTGATGATTAATTGTTTTTTTTTTCTTCATATCAAGTATTGACCTTTGTAGATGTATCCAATTCATTAGATTCGTTTAGTTTGTTTCAGTTATATGATGATATATTGTTATTAAGTCATATTTATATAGATTTGATTTGTTTGATAAAAAAAAAAACTAACTATTATTTTATATATGCTTTAGTCTTTGTATTATATTTTATTAATATTATTTAAAAATATGGATCAAGCAGATGATTTAAAAGCATTTGAACGTCGAATGAATGAAATAATATCGTCTCTTCAACCATCAATATGGCGTTGGCGTTTCATATTATTAATTCTAGTCTCAGTAACTCTTATTACATTTTATATTTTAATAACTGATGTATCATTATCATTTTCATCATCAACATTATCTATAACAACAAAATCTATAACAAATGATATAAAGAATGATAAATCCTATATATTAATATTATTATCATATTTATTTCGAAAAGAACTTTATTTTTCTTTTGCATTTGGTTTATTAATTTTTGCATTTTTATTTGGTATACATCGTAAAATGTTTGCATCATCAATAATAATAGCAAGATTTCGTTATATACTTGCTGATTATAATATGTCATGTGATCGTGATGGTCGATTAATAATAAAACCAAGACCAACAACATATATTAGTTGAGATTCATAATAATTTCTCATATTTTTTTTTTTTGCTTCTGATTTTAAACAATATAAAATATGTATTGATGTGATATTGTATTCTTATGATTATTTTTGTTGCCCATTGATTATATAGAAATTATTTTGATTCTATTTATATTCAGATTGTTTCTTGCCTTAGTGTTTTTTTTGTTTTTTTTTTTTATTATAAAAAAAAAATATATAAATGTTGGTATTATTTCAATATCAAATGATATATATATCATGGACATTATACAGTAGAAATTTATCTTAATCTATGACAAATAATTTACTAATTATTTTGAAAATATAAATTTCGAAATTATTAAATCAAATATTTGTATTATTGAAAGAAGAACAATTTTTATTTAAGTAAGTAATGAAATTACAAATGAGAGAAAAAGAAATATGAATAGTTGACTTTGTCTGAGAAAAAAAAAATGATATCTACGAGAATGATAGACATAAATCGAACTTGAACTTTGACCTGATGTTTGGATTTAGATCAGTTTCGATAGTATGAGATATTTGAGTATTGCCAAAATATTCCTTATACTATATAAGTAATTATGGAAGCTCTCTGAGGTTCGGTTAAGTTAATGTTTAAATATTTTTGGGAAAATTGTTGACTTTTTAGGCTGTCTGCGGACATCTATAGTTCCTTCGATCATGTAATTGAAAATGACTGCATTCTAAACTGATTGATAACTATATATATAAAATAGACAAAAAAAATGCATATGATTTTTCTTTTTACTAGTGATTTACCTTCTACGAAGAAATAATTTGCAAGAATATTGTTTGAATTGATGGGATAGAATTTCATCTATGAAATATGACCGCTGAGGGACTGATACATATCAACTAATGTTTTGTCACGTAGATCAAATTTTTCAAATGTGATTATTTGAAAAAAAAATCCTTCTATTTCACGATAGTTTATATAAACTTTCTATTAGTTGCCAGTACACATTTCTCAAATATTCTCATTTATTTATGTTAATTTTCTCTGTAAGAAATCTTAGGTCTTTTTTTATTATGAATCTATTTTTTTTTGCTACTAGATATGTTTTTTTTCATGGGTATGGCTCAGCATTCCGTTATCATTCGATCACGTAAAACTGTAAATTCAACGAGGTGTAATGGCTTTTTTTTGGCATATCTTTCATCTAATTGAATGGCTATTGCAGCTTTTTTTGGCGCTATGATACAATGTGTTAATTGAATTATTGAAATACAATCTATGCTAATAGTTTTGCAATCGTATATGAGAAAACTGAAATGCATGAAGAACAAGTATGAAAAACAAAATGTGACAATAATTTTTTCTTATATATATGTATATAGACTTTGAAAATTAATATTGATTAATTGGTAAATAAAATTCTTCTGTTAGTTTGTTAACAAATTTAACACTCCGACTTTATATGTATGATAATTATTTGTTATCAGTTTGATGATTATATTTTTGATATTATTTTGCCGTTATTGTCTCTCTTTAGAACAATGATAAACGAATGATGTATAGTTAATTTAATAAATGCTATCTGTTATTCTTTAATATTTTGCAAGTAACAAATTAAAAAATTCTCTTAACATATTTTTCTTTTCAACAATGTTTACTATATATGATCGTTGAATTCTTATTGATCAAAAAATAAAATTTTCACTTAATTATGAAATTAATTGATTAACATTGAGAAGAAAATGTTGAATAATTTTTTGTTTGTTTAGATTGATTTATTAAAAATTTTCTTTGATATGATATTAAAATGAGTTCAAATGAATTAATTGATCGAAAATATTATAGTTTATATATTGGAAATTTATCTGCTGATATACGTAGAAAAGAATTATGTGTATATCTTGAACATTTTGGTCAAGTTGATGAATGTCAATTATTCGAAGCAAATCATCGACGTTGGACTTGTTTTGCGTTTGTATTAATGCGTACACCTGATTCAATTAATCGATTAATGTCAACTCGACCACATTTTCTTGATAATCGACGGTTAGTTTATTATTATTTTTTTTTAAGAATAGAAAATCGATGATATGTGTTTTTTTTTTTAAATTTTTTATTTGATTTCATTAGATTATATTTAAAACGAGCATTACCTGAACAATGTTCAAATAAAATCGAACATTTTTTAACAAGTGAAAATGTTTTAATTCAATTTAAAAATTTACAAAATCAAGAAATAAATGAACCTGATTTTAATGAAGAAAATATTCGAACTTATTTTCAAACATATGGAAATATACTTAATTTATATTTATTAAAAAATAATCGATGTGTTATTGAATATAGTGATTATGGTAAATTTATTTAGATATCTTCTTTAAGAATTAGAATTTTGTCTTTAACTTTTTTTTTTAAAGTTTTTATTGAATAATTCTCTTTATGATAAAATATGAACTATATTCTTCAATTTTCTTTGAAGAAATTTAGAGTGTCTGCAAAAAAAATTACTCATAATGATGATTGAATGAAATTCTTCTATGTAATAACAATACCTTGAGTCTCTCAATAACATTACGATGACCAAAAAAAACAAAAAATACTACTTCATGAAAGAGTTTTATCTTATCATTATCATTTTGATGGTTCGAAAGTATAACTGATCATTATTATTAAGTCAAAAAACATATGACATACAAATAATAACAATGCGAAGGTTATTTCACAATAGAAGTTGAAATCAACAAAATGTATATCTTGAATTACTTAATGACGTATTCTCATTATGAAAGAGCCATTTGAGTTATCTCAAAGGCAGGGTGTACTTCAAAGAATCATCGGCAATATGGAAGATGCTCGGTTTTTCTGCGGCATCATTGAAATACAACTATACTAACGAAAGCTCATGTTATCAGACGGTTTACTATCATTGTAAGACACTTAAAAAATAACTTCATTGTTAGATGTTTAGTCAAAATCATATTTGGAATGAAATTTTTAATAGAAAAATGTGGTCTTACGACGGCATCCATCCGACTAATCTCTATTAGTAGGATTTATCGCGTAGATAAAAGTCCTGAAAGAGTGCATATCATTAGATCTTTCTTCTCAAGTTATGATCATTTTACTAAATTTTTGGGCCTAATAATATCTCTCATAGGATTTTGAAGGTGCAGCTCAAACGAATTTTTTCTTCTGAGATAACACAGTTGTAGAAAGTGTTACTTTCACACAAGACCTTAATAAACAGCTCAGTTTTTACGCATAGGAAGAAAGCATCGGTTTGAGCGAAAACATACAAGATACTTAAAGGTTGTGAGAACTTTTGTTAGACTGAAAATTCTAATACCACGAAACCTTGCAGTATTTTCGTCTATACTATCAGTTCTACCTATAAGCTCAAACGGAGATTATTAGCCGGATGAGTTTTTTCGTCAGATAATTTTAACCTTCGTATAAAAATGTATGTTCTTTTTTTTTAAATTTAGATTCCGTCGATTGTATAATTCTTGATTCACCTCATTATTTTAATTCTCATGAACTTCAAATTGATAAATATTATACAACAGAACAATTAAAAAATCTTGATAGAATGTTTATTCATAATCATGAATTACCTTTACCAGGTGCTGGTGAAGATGATGAACAAGTTGAACATTTTTTACGTTCTCGTCGTTATCTTACAATGCGTATACGTTTATTAAATGATTCAATATTATCAGTTAAAATTTCGAATGAAATTAAATTAGAAACTATTCATAGAGGTTTTTTATTAACAATTAATCGAAGAAAAGAATTACTTGAACAAATAAAAGAATTAAATAAGCAATGTCAAATATTGCATGAAAAAAATCAAACAATTAAAGAAAATAATCAAAATAGATTTCAATTTAATAATAAACTTGAAAAAAATTATCAACAACAAATTTATGATGAACAAAATAAACAAAAGGAATTAAGAAAAAAAATTGAATTACTTCAAAAACAATCTTAATTTTGTTTTCTTTATTTGTTTTTGTTGTTGTTATTGTTCTATTGTTTATTGAACATATAATTCAATTGTTTTCTTAAAATGTTTGTCAGATATATATATATATATTTATTTATTTATTATGAAAATTAGCAAAGAAAATCTAAGGTATTTTTCATTATTAGATTGATTATTTTAAATTCCATGCTTAGATTAAAAAAAAAGACTTTGATAACAATAATTTTCCATTCTTTGCACATTTTTTCCCATTCTGAGATACAAGAAGATCATTACTTAGTAAAAAAAACCATTCGATAAGTATTTCAAAGAAGTTTTTCAAATATAATACTATATACTTTTCAAAAATTTGGATAATTCTTAATTCATACAAATTTAAGTAAATACTTACACATTTAAAAACTTTTAAGATTTACTATTATTGTCATAATTAGAAATTAGTTCAGTCAATGAGATTATCTTATTTGTATGCTCATAAATTTATTTATCCTACTAAGGTAATAACAAGGATTATTATTTTATAATAACTTGTCGTAGCAAATTTAGAAGAGATTAATTTCCTCTCGCTTCCAAAATTTCTTTCTCATTAGAAAATGTCTAACTATGTGTCGATACGATTTCTACTAGACTTCAAAACACATTTTGTGACTATGATCACCTTCATTTTCTGAAATCCTAGATTCGTCGGGTTACCGGAAGATCGCCAATTCGGACTTTCGCCAATAGGACATTCGCCAATGGCGAAAGTACACGGATGTGTTGGCGAAGGTACGGTGGACTTTCGCCAATTGACGAAATTCCAAGGTATGTATTGGCGAAAGTACAGCGGACGTTCGCCAATTGACGAAAGTATAGTGGAGTTTTGTCAGCCGTCACAAAATAATATTAATACAGGATACATGTAAGGGCTAAAGCTAATACTGTTAGAATATATACTATAGCTTACGCTTATTAATATAGTCGATGCACATTTTCTAATTCACGTCTAATTAGCACTTGAATTGACGAAAGTCTCCTATACTTTCGCCAACTGGCGAAACTCCATGAAGTGTGTTGGCGAAAGTACAGTGGACATTCGCCAATTGGCGATATTCCAGTGTGTCTATTGGCGAAAGTATAGTGGAGTTTCACCATTGGCGAAAGTGCTATTTGGCGAAAGTTTTATTGGCGAAGATCCGGAATCCCGATTCGTCATTGGTCAATTATGAAGAGGACAAAAAATATTCCAGCAACTCTTAGACATTCATTAGTCTTAAAGAATAACATTATTAATAAAACGACTGTAGTTTTAGAATAATTCATGTACTATTAAAAAAATTTATGTTTTTGCTAACTATAAGAGCTTCATTAGTAATTGTTACAACTGAAATAAAACTCATGATTTTCTTTTTTATAATAATCGAAAAATTTCATTTAGTTTTAAAAGTCGACTATTGTTTCTTTGGACAAAGTCTTTTTATACTGATGAAATCGAAAATAAAATTTCAAATTTTCAATTATTAACATAGATCTTTCATAATTCTTGCTAACTTGATTGCATTTTTTTTTCTCCATTCTTATATCATTTGATTACATTTATTTTTCTTTTTGTATGCTTTCTTATTTATTTGTTTCTTTCTTTTTTTTTTTTTGCATTCCACATATGTAGAATATATAATTACAATATTAAAAATAAAAACAGTATTTCATATAATTTTAGACTGTTCAATTAAATTCTTATATTGTTTTTAATTAAATATAAAAAAAAACAGAATATGGAAATAATTCGTACACGTGATTTTCGTCGAATATTTCAAAATAAATATGTTATTTTTATGGGTGATTCAAATATGCGTTCTATTTATAAAGATTTTATACTTCTTTTACAAAAAAATGATCCAATAAATGATTCTGATCGAAAAGCAGGTGGAAATAAAGAATCTATTTGTGGTAAATTTATCTTGAAATAAATCAAAAGAAAGAAAAAACAAAAACTAACTTTTCAGGAGATATTTTACTTGAAGGTGGAATTTATAAAAATTTAGCAAGTGGAATTGAATATGAAGAAAAACGTGTATTTATGGCTAATATATTTCTTGTTAAATTTATTTTTTTAACTCGGTAAATGTCTATGTATATATTTTCTTTTCAAATAAATAAATTTAATTTTGAAAATCTTTCATTTTTTTTTTTTTTTCTTTTCTAGATGTCGAAATGATGTTACACAACGTATATTTGAAGAATTTAAAAAAGATTCAGAAAAACCAGATCTTGTTGTTATAAATAGTACTTTATGGGATATTAGGTAATATGAAATTGGATTGGTTATTATGAAATTTAACTATTTATCAATAGTCGATATGGAGAAAATGGTGAAAAAGATTTTAAAATAAATCTTCCATTATGTTTTGATGATTTACGTACTGCTACAACACCAACAACAATTATTTTATGGCTTACTGCTCTTCCAATATCAGCTGAACCAAGTGCAATTGTATTTGATGAAAAATGTATTAATTTCAATTTTTTATACAGAAAAAACAAAAGTTTTTCTTTGTTTTTTATCATTATTCTAAATAATAGATCGACCAGAAAATAAATATTGGCGAACACAATTTCTTCATATAAATGCTTTTTCAGCTGAATTAGCTAAAAAGAAAAATTGTGAAGTACTTGATGTACATTATTTATTTCGACAACATCCAGATATGCGAGATACTGATGGATGTCATTGGAATTCGACTGGTCATCGATTAATTACATCTTATATGTTAGTATATTTAATATTTTAATAATAAAATAAAAAAAAGAATTTTCTTTTTATTTTTAGTGCTCAAACTGTATCTCTTATCTGGCATGTACCATATATTGATCGTAATGCTGTTGATCATAAAGAACGTGAACTTCATGGAGTATGTTATCGATTAATTAATGAAGAAAATGAAAATTTAGTTAAACGTACACTTACTGGAGAAACTAATGATGGTATAACTAATTTTGATTTGAATGCATATCTTGCTGAATATATTCCAATACCAAATGAAACTCGTAATGAAGAAAATTCAGATAGAATCGGTACTATAATTGGAAAATTAAATGAAACAGATCGACGTATTCTTAATCTTATGGATTATTATGAAAAGCAATAAAATATATATGTATTTCTAATTAAAATAGTGCATTGCATAAATTTCTTTTTTTTTTCTATATGCAATAAAATTAACAAAGATTCGAATATCGTTCATTGATCTATAGGATTTTGCTTCAATATCTTATGTAAAATCAAAAAACATTTTGATATAATCATCAAAGAATGATGGATTCTACTAAAGTATTTTTCTAAGAGTAGATAAAAAAAAAGTTTGATAAGGTCAATACTTGATGTTTTTGTGGACTTGATTGTTCTCATGAAAAATCTAATATAGTATCTGTATTCATACGGCGACAACTAATCCAAAAAAAAATACGACCTTTTACTCTAATTAGGTGTTCCTATTATTATCGATATCAACCTTTTTGCTTTAGTTATTTCAACTTTTCGACACAATCAATACAGGTCTTCGACTTTTTCAATAGCAAGAGCAAAAATCTTTATTTTTTTCGTACCCTTGGAAACTCTGTAGATTAGGTATAAAATCTACTTATTACAGTTCAGAAAATACTCGAGGAAGACATTTAATTATAGTGCATATCTTCATCATGGTGTTAGTTCTAATCATTTAATAGTGGAGCATTCATCATTCACCTCATCTTTTACCATCAAATTTAGCTCAATAACATCTCTTTGTTAAAAATAATATTTTTCTGGAGAAGCAAACCGTAATGGAATTTAATTTGTGTTATTTTTTTTTGCGTCAAGCAGTCATATTCTTTCAATAATGTATTGTAGTCACTAATTGGTAACGATTCTTGAACAATATTGAAATATCCATCGAGCTATTGTTTTAAGACTGAACTATCATCGTAATAAGGAAAAAGACATCACGAAGAGACTATCACATGAGAGTAACAACTAACGAATATGTTTACCGATCTAATAGCTCTAATACCAGCGTTGTATGGACTGCTCGTCTTGTTCTAGTTATACTTTCGAGATATTATAGAAGATGTCATTAGAGCTAAGCAACCAAAAACAAATATAAACAAGATCATTTAAATCTTTTTTTATTTTGTATAATGAATTCTTTTCGATTAATAAATCAAGAGAACGAAGTAAGATAATTATTTGAAAAAGTTAAAAAATCAAACAAGCACCTATGGATCAAATCTAAACGAATGTTCTATCTCGTAGGTGTTCTTTTATCATACTTAAAACCACGGACGTCACCGAATATATATACATCCAATTTCTTATGTTGCCCAAATATTCACATTCGATGATATAGTTGATTAAGAGCATCACTGAATAAGATCGACAATTACTTTTAAAATATTTCTGAAGCACAATATCATACTATGTTGCCATCTCTGTCGAAGAACAAATAGATGCATCATTATTTCTGTTATTTAAAAAAAAAGACTAATAATGCTGATAAGATAATCTGTGGTACTAGTCACTAGTGTGAGTTTCAACAAAAATTGAGTCTGATGTCAATTGTATATAGTCCAATGGAACGAATTATTAACCGAATTTTGAAAATAAATAGAAGAAATATGCAATATAATTGTTCAAAGTTAGTTAAAAAATCTTCAATAAAACGTTCGATTAACATTTGTTATAACAAACTCATGAAAAATCAGTTCTGCAGATTTTAACACATATACTGATCAGCAACTCTACTGAAAACTATCAAAATAATATCTATTTTATCTAGAATATTGAGCAACTAATTAAACTATTATATTCTTCTTTAGTTAAGTTAAATGTTCGGTTAAAAAACACGATATTTTCAACTCTCTTCCATTTATATAAATATGAGTAACTCAATGAACTATATTACCCATATTTTAATCATGTACTTAAGTTTAATGATTCAAGTATGAATTGGATTTCATCAAAATCTTTTAATTGATTTCAATCATGAAACTTCTGATAGATTAGAGAAATAATATTATCGGCAATACAATACAGCCAATTACGTTGACTATCGATAAGCTTTTTTTTCGCAATTTTCATTGTATATTGATCTATTATCTCTGAATGACTTATGTAACTAAAAGCAATATGCTTGCTTTGATACACATCGTTTCAGTAAACCTTTTCATATTGTGTGAAACACATGAAATATTGCTTGTTTAATAGGAAGATAGAATAACAACAGAAGTATAAGGTTACTTCATCTCAAACAAAATTTATAGCGACAAATAGAAAAAAGCAATACGTTTGGATTGAACAGAGATGTTGCACAATGAAAAAAAAAGATGCTAAGTAGATAATCAATTTGATCTAATGACAATTGATAGTTTGTTACATTTTAGACATAAAATTGAAGGAAATAATTAGTTTTCTCTATCCTAGTAATATTATAACTGTTCATATCAGTTAAAAAGTATGGATCATTGAAGTTGAAAAACTTCTTATATACTCAAAATTCAACAAAAAGCTTTCAAATCAGTTTTGAATTTTATCAGTCATCAGCATCATTATGTCAAACATATTATCAACATGATCATACGTACAAGAATGCTTGTTTTAATGATACCTATAAAAACCTTTTATTTACTCTTCATATTTTCAAACGATGCATACGTTAAATCGATATGATCATTCATTTGTTCAGAGTATCAATGAGTTTGATGAACTAAAAAGAAAAATGCTTTGCTTCATGAACATCAAATGTCATAAAGAATTAGAAACCACTTTTATTGTTTGTTCGTCGATCAATCCAACACTTATGACAGTTGATTTTTCGAGTAATAGATAATAATATTTCAGTCTCTATTCAAACGGTCGAAATGTCCTGAGTATTTTTCCTCAACATCGATTGCGTTCATACGTATCAATCATGAATGAAAAATTGTCGTATTCATTAGATGTGGATGCAGTTGTGAGCGTGAATTGAATACTTATTCACATTCACGTCCGCTTTGCATTCTTTATGAAAGTCTTTTAAGATTATTAAATAGGAATAGCACTCGAATGCTGGTTTGAAATAGATACTAAATAAACCATCGAAGATTTTCACAAATGCTTCAATTTAATCAATTGGTTCAATAGCAAAAATCATGAATGTGTATTGTTACATCTTTTGTTTGTTTCTATTACATTTAATCTCTTTCCAAGTTCACGACGGTGCCGTGTAGTCAATACACGGAAAATGGCCATGAAATGTGGTGGAAGAGTTCTTGAAGGCATGATTGACTAAAGTCTATTCGTAAGAATGTGCGATCTTGATATAAAACATCTGTTTTCAAAAAGACAGCATTGTAATTATCTACTGAATATACTTTTTTTTAGATTCATAAAATGAACTAAGGAATGATTTGTATGGAGTCGAGTTTTACAATGTATAAAAAACATCTAGCAGGACAAATATTGTTCAGATTATAGAGACCTTGATAGTTGCTCCAGCTAATACTGAATATATTTATAATAGGTAGTGCAAAAAAAGAAATAGATGACAAGATATTGCGAAATCTCTACAAATAAACATTTATGTAAATATTGATTATATTTCTTCAAACACGAATAATCAGAAATACATTGAATTATTACACTTTAAAACATTGTATATATATACAAACGCTGATTAGAAAAAAATTCATATTGTTCTCAATGAGATAAGTACCTAAAACATTAATTATCGTAGTCTTATAAAATATGAAAGTTAAAAATGAACATTACATATAACCTTGTCTATTTCAATAACGGAATTAATTTAGTTGTCTAAAAAACGATGAAACTTATAATTCAATAGTATATGTTGACAATGAAGTGAGTTATAAAATAAGACTAAATATTTTTTTTTTTATTCTAGTCTTTACAATTTGATACGGATGTTTATTTAATATAAATTTTAATGTAATAATAAGAGAGGTCAACATTTTATTTAAGAACATGTCATTACATCATACGATCATATTTTGACATTTGCTAATAAACTAAGATGATACATATTTAGAAATTATCACTGATAAGAATTATCCTTTCATATAACAATTTTGCTTTGACCTTTTTGATAGTATCATCAGTCCTTGGATTAATTCATCTTATAATTGTAGCAGCAAGTTCAGCATAGAATAATTTACGAACGACTTTTGTAGGCTAATTCTTTTTGCTTCCATTACATCTATCAAAAAAAAAGAAAATATAGAAATATTATGAAATCCTAATTGATAGATATGACTAAACTAACTCAAAGTTGAGCAGTCTATCATTGAATGAAACTATCTCAAAAATAATATGAAGATAAACTTATAAATTTTTTGATGCTGATAATTCTATAGTTTTAACACATTGATCTTGTCTTATCTCTTATGGTAGTATTAAAAGGCTTTTATATCATTTCGTAAAATTCTTACAAAGTCGATTTTGAAATTACAATATCGACATATAATTCAATATTATCAAAAGAAAATTTTCAAAAATAAAACGAAATTATATATATATATATCGATGAGTTATCAGTAACAACATAAAAAGTAAATAATTTTCTTATTCGAAACTATTTTTTTTCGAAGAAGGACAAAATTTCAACATGTTTGTACAAATATATACAGTGTGGATACGTTAAATTTATTTTGAATAGAAATAATTCATTAATCCTTATCACGCTATTTGAAAAACAAATGATTACTTAAAAAAGCAATTCAATGAACAGTACTATCGACAAAATGACATTGACCTTGAATAGACAACAAATCAAAAAGAACAAATATACTTTAAAGAAAAAAAAAAAAGGATATCATCATTCTATTTCTTTTTGTCATCAATAATGTTGTCATCTAGTTTTTTAATCACATTATTCATCATTCTTCAACTCAAAAATCAGATAATCGATTCATGCAATCATTATGCATCATGTGGTTGTTCAAATAAATCTCGACTATATTCAAAAATTGTTGGTGGACAAACTGCTAGAATAGAAACATGGAGTTGGGTTGTATCAGTTCGTATTCAAAATAAATTTCGTTGTGCTGGATCCATTATATCAAATTTATGGATCTTAACAGCAGCACATTGTTTTTTAATAGTAAACAATTTAGGAAGCAATGTCTTTCGAATTAAAGCTTCTGATATAACTGTACATGTTGGTTCAAATAATCAATATGGAAAAAATCAATTAAGTGATGTAACCGACATTATTTTTCATCCTAATTTTAATCAATTGAATTTTAATAATGATATTGCTTTACTTAAATTATTATTACCTCTTTATATGACTGATAACATTTTAGCTAAAATTTGTTTACCAAATATATCTTTGAATGAATATCCACCTGTAGATTCATCAGTATGTATGATATAACATAATCGATTATATCATATGTTTGAGTTGTTTTTTTTAAAACTTTTCAGCTCGTTGCAGTTGGTTGGGGTAGACTCTGGGAAAATGGTCCAGAATCTTCGACACTTCAACAAGTTATATTGAAAGCAATTGATTATCAAAATGCTACTTGTTATCCATTGATCTATGATCAATTAAAACAATTTTGTGCTGGTGTTGAAAACAGTGAAAAAGGTAAAGACTACAATAATTAATTCATTAATAAAAAAAAAGCAAAAGATTTTATCTTTCTAGATACATGTCAAGGTGATTCTGGTGGTCCTCTTATGATGTTTACATCAAGTAAACAATGGGTTATTGTTGGTATCACATCATTTGGTTATGGATGTGCTGAACCAGGATATTCTGGTGTATATACACGTATAACAGCATATTTAGAGTGGATAAATCTATTTATTAACAATACAAATGATTCTATATATCCTTACTCATTAATATCAAATAGTCCATTTGATGATGATGATATTGAATGGCAAATTAACATATCTTGTTGTCATTCGATGTCTATATATTTATTTATTGTGATATTAATATTATTATATTTACTTACGATATATTCTTCAAATTAAAATTATTTTTAAAATGTTTTTCATTTGTTTGAATCAAAACGAATAATGATAATAAATACGGCCATTCTTCATTCGAGTATTTATATATATATATATATTCATGAAAAAAAGAAGAATACAAAAAAAGCTTGTTTTTTCATACATAGACATAGACTGCAAAAAAGAAACAATGACTAAAATATTGATAGTAAAAAAGAAAAAAATGAATGATATTCAAAAAAAAAAGAAAAAAAAAGACACAATCATCTTTTTAATTCATTCTCTTTATGTTCATATTTATTTTTTAATAAACGTAATTCATCTTCAAGTAAACGAATTCGATTATCTTTTAATGACATAAGTTCACGTAATGATTGCACTTCTTCTTGTTGTTTTAAAAATGCTTGACGATACTAAATTAAAATAAATATGTATGAAGAAAAAAAGATAGATATATATATAATTTTTTTTTGTTTCTTTACTAACATCAATTCCATTTGTTTGTTGTTGAACAGATGGATGATGTCCATTAGCATTATTATGATACAACGATTGTTGTTGTGGTGATTGTTGTTGTTGTTGTTGTTGATCTGGTGTATCAACACTCCATACTTTTTTCTTAACTTCAACATTACGTCGATTTTGATTGTTATTATGTATTGGTGATTGAGATTGTCGTTGTTGTTGTTGTTGACTAATTTTAGTTTGAAACTTATCCCTGAAGAATAGAACAGGTCAAATTTAGATTAAATGAAAAACAAATGAAAAATATTGCACAGCAAATAATAAAGGAAAACAATCTATTAAAAAAAAACTGATGACACTTCATTCCATGCTTGGTTACATAGCCAAACTACCTCTCTGGCGTATTTGAATTCTGATCACGAATCATTGATTGAACTGATCGAGAAGCAGTTTGTTGTAATGGTACAGAAACTGATGAAACATAAATAGGTTCGTCAGAAATTTGTGATGGTGCTGGAGGTGGTGGTGGTGGTGGTGGTCTTCGTTTAAGAATTGAACCAGCTGGACGTGGTTGAGATAAATCCATTGCTGCATACGTATTCGAAAGATTTTCAAGTGATGATGATGTATCATCATCATTTTTATCGTCTGACATCAACGATGAAAGATCGGGTGTAGATTGTGTATGACTTATTTTTTTTTCTGATGGAAAAGGTTTAAATGAAGAACGAAGCGGTTTGTAAAGACTACGATTCGATGATGTATTCGGTACAGTTATTGATTTAGCAGCAACAGGTTGAGATGGAGAAATTTTACGCTCTGGTGGTGGTGGCGGTGGTTGTGGAGAAGGAATAACTTCATCACTTGAAAGAATAATATAATGATGCAGAAAAAAAAGAGTTTAAAATATCTTTTGGAAATGCAACTATAAGGTATATTAAAAGCTAGGAAAGAATGTCGAACCTGTTATCCAATAGAATGCCACATGAACTTGTACGTCCTACACGACGCCGAGTTGCAAACTGGCGTCGCTGTACAACGGCTGGTTTCTTTTCCTCTTTTCTACTAATATCAATTAGGTAGTTATTAATCTATCGATTTATTATTCTAAAATATTTCCTATGAAAACAAATCTTACCTAACATTATTAAATTCTGTACTTGTTGCTGGCATTTTTAATGATTCAATTTTTCTTAAACCTTTAGAACTCGATTGATGTTGATGTTGTTGCTGTTGTTGTTGTTGTTGTTGCATATTTGCTGCTAATTTTTCAATCGATATAGATGAAGATAGTGATTGATCAATAAGATTTTGTTTAGGTGTTGGTGCAACTTCTGCAACTGGTGGTTGAATTGTACGTTGTGGTGTTCCACGATGAGGTAGAACAGGTGTTGATGTTGTTGAATCAAGTGTTCGATATGTTGTAATTTTTGGCATATTTGTACCTTCGATACGATCTTTCATTGATACAAGTATTGGATCACGATCAATACCAGACATCCATTCTTCCGGTGATAATGCTGGATATGGACCTGGAGTATCTGGATAAATATCTAATTGAAATGCTTCTGCTTTACGTGGGACTTAACAAAAGAAAAAAAAACAATCAAGAAATTTAAACAACAACAAATAAAAGATAATACAAACCAATCATAGAAATAGGTTCACATATAGATCCAGTAGCAAATAATTTATAAAAACGCATTATTTCATTACGTGTTACATCAAGACCTATTTTTGGCATTACACCTATGAAAAATAATTTTTTTTTTTAATAAAAAAAAATCATTATTCTGTGTTTTGTTTGAATCAATTTTACCAAGACAACGTTGTGGTGAAGAAGATTTATATTCAGAAAGAAAATACAAATATGGTTCACCTTGATCACTCACTTCATAATAACGAATATTTCCATCACCCTAAAATAATTTATATGTAGAATGATTAGAAACTAAAAAAAAAAAGACAAAACTTTTGTTTTTCTTACTTTTCCAGCTAAATAAACTGTACGTGTATCATGATCATAATATGGAATAAGAGCACCGGCACTGAAATCAATTGTTTCAACTGTTAATGGTTTTGATAAATCATTCTAAATTAATAGTTCAATATTTAGAAATTATTTTATTCAATAAATATATACAAAATTCCAAATAGCTATTTGTCGTTCAAATTGTTTTCCAAAACCTGTAGATAAAAGACGATTTGTATCGCCTAAAAAGACAATTTTTGATGTTTTTGGTCCTTGATGACCTATTCCTTTCTACATTAAAAAATAAAATAATATATAATAACTAGAATTTTTTCGAAAATAAATTTTTCATTTTACCGCAATAATTCGACCAGTACGTGGTTCAATAACACGTATATGTTTATCTTTACATGTTGTTGCAAAAAATGAACCATTTCTATTCCATGCTATTGATTGTATTGCATCTGGATGACATCGATAAACTTGTATTGGTTCAGCTTTTTCAACATTCCATAAAACAACTTGATGATCAAGTCCAGCACTTAATATAAGATTTTGTGCTGTTGGATGCCATTCAATATAATCTACACGTCTTTGATGTCCATGTAAATCAACTTTCCATTGATATGTATCAGATTTTAAACCTTCATTTGGTATATACCAAACTTTAACTGTTCCATCATCTGAACATGATGCTATTTCATTATCATTAAATGGATTAAATTTAAGATCAACTACTGGACCACGATGACCAGTTATACGTGGATGATCAACATCGACACGACCAACCTATATCAAACATTTATTTGATAAAGAAGATAAATAGAAGAAAATTGACAAACTTCAGATAGAAGTAAAACAAGAAAGCTTCCACCACCACTTGTTTCAGTTACAATTGCTAAAAATTTTGAATTAACAGCACAAAAACTTCCATCATGGGCATTACGTGTTATAGCTATATTTTTATAACAATCTTGTTCACGATAAGGTGTACCAAATACATGACGAAATTTTGAGATGCGAACTTTGAATGGCATCTAAATGCAATAAAAAAAGAAAAGAACAATAGGTATATATGTTTCTCTAAATCAACTAAAAAGTCATTTCTTTGTCTTTCTTCTTACGATTTAAATAGAGAAATTTGTTTGCTTATATAATAACAATAATTATTTCCTATACAAAAATTTATTATCATATTTCTATGTTAAATAAGCTATGAGATTTATATTCATTTTTTAAGTCAAAATCCTTGTTTTTTTCTACTTACTTTCTCTTCTTATATTAATCTTCGACGTTCATTTTTTTTTTTATTCACAAACTTGCATAGATGCGTGTCCTAAGTGTATGTAGTATGCTAATCTGTCATGAGACATGCGTGAGCTTCGAAGCCGCTGTTCAACTTAGTGTGAATCATCGTGAAAATAGAGAGAGGGAGACTGCTTATTATACTTGTATACGTTGAGAAAAAGAGAAACGTTCTGTCTCGAGTTGATGATGTATAAAAAGTCTTACTCAGCTACTAATTCAATGTTAGAACAAGGAAAGTAGAAAGAAAAAAAAAAGAAGAACGATAAAGCTTGAAGGGTATAGATTGACGAGTTCAACCATCATCACCAATACAACAGACAAATCAAGAATATTAAATAGTGTCCCGTTGGGTTCAGAAGTATTCATCACAAAGAATAGTTATCAGACTGACATAGGTCCTATTCGATTTGCCTTCTCGTTTTTCTTTTTTGCTCTTTATTCTTACATAACTTATTCTTCTCATTTACTCTCTTTTTTTTCTATTCGACTTGCTATATTCATACTAGACATACTATTGAACATTATAAAAGCCAAAGAAATAAGAGTTCCTATCTACCAAACGTTCAATAACAGAAGCACCGGTTTCTTTTTTTTTGATTCTGTCCTTCTTTCTTTTTTCTCTCTTTTCCTTTCTCATTTCTTTCTTGATGCCCTCGTAATGTGATGTAGTAGGGTCAAGCATACATGCATAAGAGAAAAAATTATAGTTAATAGAAAAAAAAAGATGAAAAGGACAACGACTTTGTCACAAAAAAAAAAAACATTTAAATGAACAGAAAATGATTTCTTCTTCTCATATATATATATATATATGTATGTACTAAAGTTTACACAAAATAACAATAGACCTCCTGTTGTACATACTCTATCATCAATTGCCGATTGACCTAAGTAAAAGAAATCTTAGAAGAAGTGTTTGTCATAATAATACTAATCATACTTAAATGTTTTAATCCTATATCAATGGACAAGAAGAAGTATATTTATTAAAACCAGTTACAAAGATGTTAACGTATATCGAGTAAAGAAAAATACTAATAACGGAGATCTTTTTATTTTTTTGTTCACAGAAAAGGCATTCAACAAAATAAATGAGCAAGAAGAAGAAAAAAGAAAAAAAACTTTCTAGAAGAAATTTTCTCCACTGTCATTTCTTATTATGATTATTTTATTAAATTAATGATATTTAATGAGATATAGTCAAAATAATTCAGTTATTTTTATTCAACTTGTCTATCTAGACTATTTGATTAACAAATTCTCTCGATAGAATTTT